CCCTTCAAACTACACAGATTCAAAATATAAAACGATAGCAGAAAGCAGAGGAAAGCAGAGACACAGAGCAATATATTTCACTCATCTGTCAGATATTTAGATGGTCAGGGTTTCAGGGAAATTGTTACCAATGACTTTGTATTGCTTTATGATACATAAGGGATTAAATAATAATCATATTATAGACTAGAAATATCATAAATTGCATGCAGTCAATGAAAGCTATTTGTAATATAAGACAAATGTATTTAGCCTCTCTGACTAATAAAAATCACCATCAACCACACAATGTTTACTCTGTTAGAAGAATAAACCTTCTTAGTGCAAAAAAACAGTACATAAAATCAAAATGTCTTCAAATTAACAAAATTGGAAAGTTTCTATGAGACGCTGTGATGTTGATTCAACATATAAACCAATCAGCTCTTAGATCAGAGAAGAAGTTTTGCAGTCAGTGGAGAGCAAATGGCACCAAAACCTGCAGCCTTCTTGATCTCACAGGGTCAAGGTTGGCTACATGTGTATTGTGTAACAGCAAATTGTGATGGAGTGGGACAGAAATGTAACTGGCATGCATTATCAGTTGAATTCAGCAGCACCAAACGGCAAAGAGGTGTTAGTCATAAGCTAGTGAACACAGTAAAATTATTATTATTATTATTATTATTATTATTATTATTACTACTACAGAAATACTTAATATTAATAATCAAAATAAATGGTTATTTATGTCTGCTGGATGAGTAACTAGGCACCTGTTCACTAACATGTTAACCATAACAACTTTATAAAGCATTAATAGTTCCAAAGGGCAAAAAATAAATGCAGGTTTACAGTGAAACCCCCACAAGGTAGCCTTTCTGTGAGATTAGGTTAAGAACAAAATCCATTTCCACAATCTGACCCAGGGTCTGACCACCCCTTGTTTATGCAACGTGGTGCTAAACTGAATGAACCAGACTGTTTCTGTAATGCAGCCCATTTCAAGATCTGATATTAGAGGCTAATAACATTTGAAAAGATCACTCCACCCAAACAGACGATTTTACAGGAGGCTCATACAAGTCTGTGCCTTCATAACTTAAATAGCAAAACAAGAAAGCACGTGTTCTAATTTTGTGCAGCTCAGGCCTCCGAGGCCTTTCAGCTTAATTAAATGTGTAATGTTGATTAATAGTGCCGAACAGCCCCCTGGGAATATCTGCAAGACATGAACCATTTGCCTCTCTTACAGAAGCACAGCTAAGTTAAAATAATTCAACGTGACCATACAACATTAACAAATGGTGTATGCAATAATGTGTTAACACAAGCATCAATGTCAATACGCGGATACAGTCATACGTGCATTCCGATGAGGTCATCACCACCCATCCGTTTGTAACATCCACTGTCGTAACAATAAAGTTTCCTTTACTTCAGGCTATTACGTGAAACACAAAGTTTATGAAAACACACTAACGTTAGAGAGCTCACTGTTACCATACAGCCGTTGGGTTAGTTAATTCAATTACTCAATAGGTTACAGGTGCATTCGGTGTCATTACATGCTGGGTAACAGTAGTACACGCGTCCGCTTAAAAATTAAAAAGCAGATAGAGTGATAAAGTGAATAATGTCCACACAAACCGGGCTGTGTTCATGAGTAACGTTAATAACTTACTGCAAATAGTCTGAGCCCAACGGTTTAACGTTAGCTAGAGATAAGAAGAGGATGGAATTAGCAGCTCGCTAGCCATCGTCCGCAGGCCTGCGCTTTAAAACACTTAACTGTAGGATGTTATTTATGAAAACCGACATGTAGATAATAGTTTACTGTCGGGTGGTGCTGACCGTTATGGTAGATAAAGTCAGGATACATCGTTGACCCCGTTTTGATGGCTTGTCTGCTCCTCTTGCTAGCAGTGCCAGCTAACGTGGTGCACCGGGGGGTGTTGGTTTTACAGCACAGTGCACACCGGTGCTGCTGTGCGGGGCGAGGTCATAGTGTTATGTTACTTCATGTGCAGATGCATTAGGCTCTGTTGTATACTGAATAGTTTTTATGTTTCACAGCTGCCAGATTGCAGTGTATAACAACTACATTTATCACAACCAGAGCATTTAATTTTTAAATTATTACAGCAGTTTGTGTTGTTTTTATGTTTGTTTTTTCCAAAATAGATGGATAACAGGTTTACAAATCATGCATGCTGCTAGGCTAAGAAGCAAAGGGCAGACCTGCATCGGATTACCATAAGATATTATCTCTCATCAGAGCTATAGCTGCTAATAAACAGACTGTGCTCACGTGTTTTAATATTTAACTCAACCAGCTCAACCTCTATATTACTGATTAAATCCACAAATCACATGGTGGCCACAGTGTAATGTGAAGCTTCACACACACACACACAATTAGGAAGTACTCGTTTGAGGACATCAGGACTTTATTATCGTCTCATTTGAGAACATTGGGACTTAATTATCATTGACAATGTTTAGTTTTTTTATACTTATCGGAACCTACTAATTACTGATAGCTAGGAGAAATTAAAAATGCATACCAAACAAACGTTCCGCGCTCAGGAGGACATACTTAAATGTACATATCTGTAAGAGGTAGACACGTCCAAGAGGTTTCATATTCTCCTGAGACCTGAACTTTTGTTTGGTATGCATTTTTTATTTCTCCTAGCTATTTGGGATCAGCAGTACCTGATAAGTATAAAAAAACTAAACATTGTCAATGATACTAAAGTCCCACTGTCCTCAAATAAGACAACAAAAAAAGTCCCAATGTCTTCAAACGAGTACCTCCACTTTTGCGTCAGGATCGGCTGCTGACTGAGTTGGCAGAGATGGCTGCCATCTTGTTTTTACATATCTGCATCCATTGTGCAGATTATCCTTCCACATGTTCACCAATGGTAACCTTGTAACAACTCCTATTTCCTCTAGATAGTCAAGTGTGATCATCTTCTCAACACTCTGCCTTGGCCACTAGATGGGACAAAAGTGTCCATGAACGAGGACAACAGGTCTAAGTTACACAGAATGAAGTGTAAGGTCAAGAAAACCTGAAATGCGATGTCCTCATATGAGGACACAGGGTCTCAGGAGGATATATAGTTCGTACCTGTATGTTTTTACTTCATATGCAGCCTACCTATGTGTCATATATCAAAATCCAATAGTGCATAGATTACATTTCTATATGGGACAATTCAATATTGAATATTATAACAAAAAATACCAACGGTCATACCCACATGTCACACTGATAAAGATATTACTCCAAATATGGAATTAACCATGTAATAATGACATTTAATTACAGAAATGCAGAAGGATCCTATCCAGCTGACAACAACACCACAAAGCGGCCCTCACAGGTGTGAAAAGCTCAAACACACCTGGTGACAGTAGATTGGAGGTATTGGATAGCCATCTGTCACACACTCCCACCAGGCTTTCTTAATCACACCTTGGAGTCTTGTGTTTCACGGTGGCGTATTTAAGTCCTTCAGTTCCCAGAGAATAGGTATGCATTAGCTTACAGTCCCCTCTTTGCACAGGTCATATATATAAGCCAGTGTTTAACTGAGGACAAATTACATTTAAATAGGTAGTAAAAACATTCATTTAATGTAACATGTGTTTTACAGCGGTCACACAACGACATCACTGGATCCGGCCTGGGTGTTGTCTCCAAAGTTCAACCTTCACAACGCATAAGCATTAATTCGCTCTCCGTAATCACTCACATGTAACTACACTTAACATCGCCCGTCCAGACGGTGCTGGGTGGCAAAACAGGCGCTTACTCGCCGCCTGGCCACTCAGCCTGTCAGTTAGCAGGCTGGCTCGACTGTAGCTGAAAAACACCGCCTGAGCTCCAGCCATGGTTAGTTAGCTACAGGCGAGCAGGGCGAGCAGGGCAGCCCGCCAGGCGGCCAGCGACAATCGGATAAACAACGGTAATCAACCGTAACCCCCGCGCAGCTCGGATAACAGCATATGGAAACACATTTCATTCATATACCGCTTCGCAAAATGTGTGTTTTGCTGGCTTCAACTTACATGGGCGCTGAGAGGATTGTGTTGATGACCGTTCATTTCTCCCGATGGTGGAACACTCCCACGGTGACGTCAAATAGCGTGCTCGACGTCAGAACAGCTGAGTACCAGACAGATAACCAGCCCATATGATCCATGCAGGTTACACGAGATTATAGCCATTTTACACATGTATGGGTTTAGATGTGAAGGTGAAAGTGTCCTCAAGAATGTAGCTGGGGAAATATATTTGGTGTTTTACTGGTCTTTTTTTAGACTAAATATAATTAAAAATGTGACTGTTTGAAGACCATAGTCAGCAGGTTAATTGCCCATCAGAATATTATTTCAGACAATGTAAGGCTTAGAAGCATGCTATATATGTCTGGGGAAATATATTTGGTATTTTACTGATTCAAGTATTTTAGACTAAATATAGTTAAAGTTTGACTGTTTGAAGACCAATAAAAATAGTCAGCAGGCTCAGAATATTATTTCAGATAATGTAAAGCTTAGAAGCATGTAGGGTTGAAACGATAAGGTGACTGATGGATGAACAGAAAAAAAAAAATTATTTTGATAATGATTAATCATTTAAGTCATTTTAAAAGCAAATATTGCAGAAAATAGGGCTGCACTAAATGCAAAATAAATCATATTGCAATCATCTTGACAGATATTGCAATGACTCATGGTTATACTGGAAATTATAATTTTTGCATTTAATTTTTACTGAAAAAAAATTATGATGTGTGGTGAGGTCTGTACCAAACATGTTCCCTTTATATCTGAAATATAATTTGTAGGACTCTGTAGTACTACAATGCTTCATTTAAAATGGTTTAAAATGGTATGCTTTGACAAATTTTGCCTTTATCAAAAAATTCCCGAGGTTTGAATATTGCATCTTGCCATATTGCAATTTTAATTTCGATTAATTGTGCAGCCCTGACAGAAAACTTAGTTCTTTCAGCCTCCTCAGTGTGAGCATTTGTTAGTTTTCTTAGCCTTTCATAATAGTAAATGGACATCTTTAGGTTTTGCACTGGTGGTTGGACAAAACTAGCAATTTGAGGATGACACATTGGTCTCTGGGGAATTATGATTGTCCTTTCTACACTATTTTCTGACATTTTGTATAGAGCAGCCGATTAATAAAGAAAATAATCGGTGGATTAATTGATCAGAAAACAAGTGTTAATTGCAGCCCTACACACAGCCTTCATGCTTGAGAAATAAAATGTACAGAAAAAAAATAATGCAAATAAATTCTTAAAAACAATATATAAATGATTATAAATTAAGGTGGGCACTGTCTCAGTGGACCAGTGTTTCTAGAATCTAGCTACGGCCCTGAATATCTAACCATCAATACATAAAAAAATTAAAATAAAAATTTTTTTAAAAAAAATCAGACAGTAATTGTGCAGCTAACCTTGCATTTTATTTTGCCCTCAGAAAATTTACATATTGAATCCCTCTTGCTAAATGCAAAGCAAGAAACTCTTAGACAGTCTATTCCAGCTTTGTGGGTCTATTCTGTGAGGTTAACCTAAATGTATGAAGGACAGTCTGATTCTCCTTCTCCAGTCAGCAGAACCTTTACCAGTTTCTTGCAATTGATTTTGGCCTTTGATGTGAAGGGAAAGGATAAAATGGAGGCATGGCGTGGTACACAGGCTGATGTTCATGCTGATCAGATGGAGCTGGGTTTGTGGGAGGCGTAGTTGGAGGATCAGGAAATACTGGAATGGGAGCCTTCTGAGGAACATAATATGCTGGCATATATGGGTGTGGGTAATAAAATTGCTTTTGAGCTGCAGGCTTTAAAGTCGTAGCTGCGCTGGTCAGTGAGGTGGTGACAGGAGCGGCAGTTTGAGTATTCTGTCTTTGAGAGGGATACTTAGGAGGAGGATACAGCACGGGGATCTGATAGGTCTGAGGATACACGTATGGGTTGTGCTGCTGGATGACAGGTTTGGGATCCTGAGGAGTTTGACCTTGTGGAGGCAGCGGGACTTTTGGGAATGGCAGGAAAGGATAATGAGAGGGCTTTAGATAGTGTGGCTGCTGGGGAACATGAGGCTTCCCATCATGCTTTGTGGTGGGGGCAGGTGTGGTTACCAAAGCTTCTGTTGTAGTGGCGGGAGGAGGAGGAGGGGTTGCTGGATGGAAAATTCCAGGTACCATGGGGAACTGTGGGAAAAAGGAAAATGGATACTGTGGCATCTGAGGTGGCTGGGCTGGAAGCGCAGCCGTGTTTTTCTGAGCAGTGGATTGCGTTGGTGGTACGGGTCTGGGGAACAGAGGGTACTGAGCGAACTGTGGATACTGTGCCATGAGTGAAAATGCAGGGAACTGAGCTGCAGGTGCTTCTGGGTTTCCAGTGTTAGAGTCTGTAGCAGCACCCGAGGGAAACTGTAGACGCTGAGGCAACGGAGCCACTGTACCTTTAGTAGGAGCGGGGGTGTGTGGTGGAGGAGTGGGCCCAGGAAACACTGGGTATTGAGGAAACATTGGGAACTGGGGGTACTGAGGATACTGCAGGACCTGGCCTTTGTCACTAGGAGGGGTAGTTGCTGCAGTGGTCGGCTTGATGTCCGGTAATGAAGGGCACGTGACTAAGAGCTCAGCATCCGCCAACAGAAGAGAGAGTAAATACTCCTCATCCTGCAAGGAAACAACAGGAGTAAAAAAACAAAAGCCTGCATGTGCCTCAGCTTCCATTTCTAACCACAAGAGGGACCACCATACCTTGATCTGTATGCACGAGCCTCTGTTATAGGGTGCAGTGAGGGTCAGTCCTCCAGAGAGCACCTCAATAGCAATTCCACAACTGCTACACACCGATGAAAGGGACCTCCACGTGCCAGACACTGCAACAGTTTTAATCACAGATGAGAAAGTAGTTTTCTAAAGCCAATAAAATGCCAATATGTTAAGTTACTCACCTTTAACTTTGACTCCATGTGCTGCAATACCACTGATCTTCACCACCATCCCAGATGGGAAGCAGGAAACAGAGGGTAGTGGTAACGCAGCGGGACAAGACATTGTCATCGGTGTCCCCCCTAAGCGCAGAGGTATTATGTAATCACCATCCTGCAGTGTAAAATGACAAAGAGGCACACTCATAGAGAGAAGTTTAAATCATACAAATGTATCAAAGGTTTAATTTTATTTGCAGAGTTATGAAAATAGCCAAACACAGACTTAGAAGGATGCTCAAAGGAATACTTCACCCACAAAATAACCATTTGTATAATAATTAGTCATGCCATGTTACCTTGAATTTATACAAACATTTGTCGCATCTACGGAAAACATGTTTAACAACTGCAAAACTAAACATGAAAATATACATTTGCAAACTTGTGCAGTATAATCCAAGTCTCATTTATCCAGTCATGTGTTCAGTACTTCCCAACATGTGCACTGCAAACTGAACTGTAAGTGAAACCTATCTGAAATTATCCAAGCCAGATTCCATTTAAAAGTTTGTTTGTTTTTTAGCAAAAATGCATGTGTTTGAAAGTACTGAGCATATGACTGGATAAATGAGACTTGGATTATACTGCACACGTTATGTTAGTTTTTCATTTTGTGGGTCAAGTATTCCTTTAATGAATAATCAGGTTTGGGTAAATGTCCACAAGTGCAGTTTGATTTCAGTCATGAAGCTTCTAACTGGTTTAAAAACATCCATGGAGGTGCTGCAAATACTGACGGGAAATGAACCTCACCTGCTTGGTTACATGGCAGCCCTGGTAAAGTGCAGCAAAGTGCACATCTCTGCGGGACCTCTTCACAGAGAAGCCACATTGAGAGGGCATTTGAGAAAAAGGAGTAAGGGCTCCCTCACCTGTTTGACATATAAAGAAAACAGTTTAAACAGTGTATTGGCTTTTAATTCAGACTCCTAATAAAAAAGGAACCTACCGCTATCCACGAGAAAGTGAGGAGCTCTGATCCCATTGACTTTCAGAGTCATCGAGCTGTCACTACAGTGCACTGATGGATCCATGCGCTTCAGTTTTGCAGCCAACAAATTGTGCAGCACTGGAAGAAGAAGCACAAATTTAATTTGGTGATTGAGAAATCCAAACACACCACACAACCCTTCCATAATAAACTGCATGATTGCATCATGTTTTAAAGGATCCAGAGATCTTGAGCAATTGTGTTGCTGTAGAGCGATATTTTGACGAGCATGTTCCCATACAAGGACACATATGCAGGCTACAAGTTCTTTAGTGATGTAATATGCATTTTCTGCCACTGTAGAGGGCCGGTCTCAAGGTAATCTATGGGACTGAATGTGTATGACACCATTTCCACTCTTGTGGTGCAACTTCTCTACAGCTCCAAAAAATACACATGCCTCAAGACAAGGGCACTTACCATTGTTTTTAATTAAGGAGACTGAAATGTTCATAACATGTCACATAATCCAAGTCTTGGTATTTACTGAGTTGTAATAGTTTTTATTGTTAACAGGCCAGAAGCAGTTATGCTCTGCATATTGGTATGAACAGGCCCAAAGTGTCAGGGGGCCCCCTGGCTTCACTTGCCAAATGTCACTCAAATAAACACATGCTGACCAGGAAGAGACTGAGAATTACAACAAAAAGACCACAAAGAGGCAAAAAACAAACAAAAAGACACAAGTTAACCCCTCAGACACTCAAACAAGTACAGAAAAACACAAAACAATCACGAGGAGACACAACATTACCACAGAGACACAGAACAACACAAAGATGCAAAACCACCACAAAGTCTGTGTCTTGTTCCTAAGCAGGAGAGGTGGTCAGTCTCTTTGCATATCTATGCCCAGGGGCCCATTGTGTCATAATCCGCCTCTGCATTTTGGGTAGAAACCAATGTAGCACAAATGTTCATCTCTAATACACCTTCTATAGTAAATCTGGCTGTTTATATCTTGCTGCCTTGATCATGAAGCAAGAGAGGGGATTTATCCTCATTGTATTGCTATACAAAATAACACATCCAAAACAATAAATAGCAAATACATTTTTTTTAAAAAAAGGCCTGACTTATTTAGATGCTATTTTTTTTTTAATTTTCTTTTCAATTACAAAAAAAAAAAAAAAAAAACCGATCTACTCTGCCATTGTGTGAGTGAGTGAGTGTGCTGCATTTATTTAAAATGTATTAGATGGACAGGGTGCTACCACTTACTGTGCAAATTTGTAACCGTTTATAATACAAATTTAATAAAAGGTTGTTTAGGATTAATATTTAGATTATTGATTGATTCAACTCCCCATGGTGTATTTCATATAATTTAATATTCGTCTGCACCATGCGCGTCGTAGAGGTCAACTCGATGTCTCAAAACAATCAGCCCACTGTATCACTTTGTTTCTGTCTCATTATGGGAGATGGGAGAGGATCTGTAACTTACCTGGAGTCAATCTGCGGTCGCCATGTTGGTCAAACTTGAATGCAAGTGAACCGTGTCGTGTTTGAGCAGCAGATGCATGTTGTCTATCAGACTCCACACTTCTGCCTTGTACCGCTGGCTTCTGTTCAAAAACATCCGCTGTGTCAGGAGCGTGTCCGCTGCAGAGCTGTGCGGACATTACAGTCACCGTGACCACGAAATATAAGATGTGGGTTTTCAGAGACATCATGTATTTTTGTTGTTAATACAAATCGCTGAGACTGTCACTCATATAGTCTCTCATACATAGGCCTATGTGTTTGAAGCGTCTTAATTGACCAGCCAATCACCAGTCACAACGTGATGACAGCAGGTGTGAGGTGATGATGCCTCGCGACTCTTCTGCAAGTAAGAGGAAGTGAATATTAAATTTGATCAAATATGATGCAAGCTAAGCAAACAGTTGTTTCTCAGATAGATTTCTATCAAAGTCACCTCTCTTGTTGTTTTCAGGAAAGCCTGATGTCTCTGTGAATTGGTTTCATTAATTAAATTGGATATATTGGTGCAAACTATAATAAATTCAGATAAATAGACAGTTAAGATCACTTTTTAAAGATCACTATTCAAACAAACTGATATAAATAACATGGTATAAAGGACAAACCAGGCATAAGTAGAACAACATAAATGCATTCAAGGTTTCATTTCAACATTGGAAGACACACATGAAACACCACACTTAACTTCCTGTGTGCTGGTGATTTTTATGCATCAATTTATGGTGTTAAAGTCTTCCTGTTAACAGTATAATCCAGACCAAGCAACTCTTTCCACTCATTTTGGGCATGCAGACAGTTTTAGGACAAGATTTTTTAGACATTTTCCTACATGTGTAATAAAACCATAGACCCAGAGCCCCAATTATCAATATTTGGTGTGGCCCAAAGAGATATGGGTCTTCCCTGAGCCCTGAACTGTGCTTAGGCCTTCACATCATTGTTAGCCAGACATCTCAATATGTACAATTGGAAGTCTAACCTGCCCCCTCTGTTTAGATGCTGGGTCAATGATGTCATGGCTCATGTGAGGGTGGAAAAGCTCAGATATTCCCCAAAGGATCAGTCGATGAATCCCATAAAGCATGGCAACCATTCCTGGACTATTATAATAATGTCTATACTTTAAGAAATCAAGCAATAAAATCATTGAATAAAAATAATTTAGGGTGTAAATGTCTTTTATTTTGTCAAAATAACAGTCCTCTGCTACTTCTATGTTTTTACTGGGGGAGTGAATGCACATGCTCTAAATACTGAGAGGGACATGAACTGGAGATATACGCCCATGACTGAATTTGTGCATCAAAATACAACAATAAAATGATCCCAGCTGCAATTCTGAATGTTTTATTAACATGTTACACATGGGAGTCATCAAGATGATTCATATAAAGTCACTTTATTTTATACACAATGAAAACATACAATCATATTAACGTCTTCAGAGGAAAATAATACAGCTTTCACATGTTGTTCTGAGTCAAACAAGCTTACGTGACTCTCAACCAGTGAAGTTACGACACTAATGATGCAAACAGGACAGAGGTGTTGACTCAGATGACAGGAATTTTACACTTGAAACTGGTCTATCCTGTATACACAAATAACGCTGGTATATATACACAAACATTATATTAAAAAAAACTGTAAATAGTGCAATGTGCATAGTATCCATGTAGAATTGTTTTAGTTGTGCTGTAATACATTTTAAAATACTTCAGAAAACACAATAGAAGTCAAATTGCAACAAATAGATTTTTTTTACGAGGCCTCAACTTTATATTTTCCAAAACATACACACCTTTATTACTTATTCAAGTCTATAATAGACCAAAACAATGGAAGTAGGTTTTGCATAGATGAGGTCATATCTTGCAAGAGCACTATTGTCCACATTACGTCAGTGTGTCATTTCATGAAGGCTAGATAATTGAGAGTAGGTGGTTAGAAGTGGCGCTCCTGACAGAAGAGGCAGCTTAGAGGTCTGTGACATCATCCTCAGACCAGTCATGCTGATGCATCACTGCTGAGAGCACTGAGTCAAATTCTTCTCTCTGACGTGCAGCAGCTGGAGACCCAACACTAACATTATAATCAGTGGCAGCGTTGGGTGACTGTGTCGGCTCTTTAGCTGTGAAGTGGTCTAGAGATGCAGAAATAGGCTCTGTATCCAACGTCCACCTGTAGCCAACATAAGCTGGAGGGAATGTTATTGTGCCATCATTTTCATCAGTGATGTCTGCGCCCATATTTTGAGTCCAAGGGGGAGGTGGAGGTGTGAACAGGCCTCCTGCTACTAGCTGTCCATGGTGAAGGGCCATGTCAATGCTGCGCCGCAGGTTGATAGGAGATGGAGGCCGCATGTCAAATTCTATAAGTGACAGAATGCATTCACGTTCACCAACTTTTTGCCACAGTAGTGCAGTCTGAGAGTCAGAGCTGCTAATGCTAACAGGATCGGGCTTGTAGTCTGGTGTGGTGGACAGCTGATCATCATACGGACACATTAAGTTGTTGCTTAAACCTGCTTTGGACAGGTTATACTTTGCCCAGTTGCTTGGCATCAGGTCTTCCCAGGTTTTCTCAGATTTTCTAAGTGGCCCTTTCTGTATGCTCGCCAACACCTGACCCCACAAGCTTGTCTCCTCTGCCACTTTAGGCACCTCACTTCTTCCCTGTCCGTGATTGCCCCTTGAATGACCCCTATACATCGTCCAGAAGATCCAACATCCCAGGACAAGCAACGAGAATCCCCAAGCTAGCTCAAGAATTCTGGCCCAGAACTGACTGAGCCACCAGCCCCAGCCAAAACGCCTCCAGTTCCCCAGCAGCCCATAAAGCCAGAGGAGACTGTACATCTGCAGGCTGAAGCAGAGAAACCCGAGGAAGGCGCACACTGCTGTTACTCGCTTTGCCCGCTTCTCAACCCTCAGTGAAGGAACCCAGTGAGGCACAGACGACCTGAGAAGGGGGTGTAGATGAGAGAAAGACTTCATGAAGATCCCCATGCAGAATGGGAGGCCCCAGCAGAGGGAGAGGGTCTGCAGCAACAGAGGGAGAGCGGGGGACAAAGTTGGAGAGAAAAGGTCTGCTACAAGTAATGGAGTACAATGTGATATCGCCAGGCCTCCCACTACCCACGGGCGCTGCAGCCTTAGAGGGAAAAGTAATAATTTCAACCCTCTGAGTGTGACCAGAGCGAGGGCAACCTGCGCCCACAGGAGGAGCTGCAGAGGGACATTATGGAGTGCTGCCAGAGTGGCACGAGACAGGACCTGACGGGTGCCATAAGGATCAAGCAGAAGGAGGACACCACGCAGACTACCACTCAGGATCAGGAGAGTATTTGCCAAGATCAGGGCGTCACAGAGGGGATGAGGAAGAGTGCACGCACTGGCCATTCCTATAACTGCCAGAGCTGCGAGCAGTATGAAAAGGCTGGCTGACCCAAAGACATGTAACTCCCAAGCAAATGCCAGTGTGCGCCTCATGTCATCCCAGAGCAGATTGGTGCCATTAGAGTTTGTAAGAACTACACAAGGACTCAGACCGAGCACACAGGGACCTCTGGGTCCTGACAGGTTCTGGTTCGTTGTAGGGACAAACACATTGTTTTGGAGTTTAGGGTTGTCCAAACCTGAAAATGAGAGACAGAGAGGGAGAAAGAAAAAAGCTGTTTAATGCAGGAGCAGAGTTGGGACCAAGTCATTGTTTTGTAAGTTACATGTCAGGGGGGCTGGGGACAGTTACAACAAGTCTTATTTCTCCAATCAGAAACATGTAAGAGTCAAGACACTCATACTGCGCATGCTCACTTACAGCACTTATTGCTTTTTTTCTCTCCAAAAAAATCTCACGTTATAACGCAGACATTTATACATATACAAGTCACTGTGATGTAAATGAAAAGATAGTTCACCCAAATAAATAAATCTGTTGTCTGTTACAGCGGCATATTTATGCAATTACAAAAAATTAAAAGCAAGACTATATTAAAATGTACATATACATTTATATATGCACAAGTCATTGTGAGGTACATTGGAGTCAATGTGAAATGCAATAATTTGAATATTTCATATTACCAAAATCTTATTAGTGTAAAAATACATTCAGTGAATAAATCATCTAAAAGTAGAAATTGTATCATACTTTTTTCTTTTTTCAGTATGCCGAGAAGGGTTACTTACAGAGAGATATACCCAACAAACAAAACTCAATAACTTTTATTTGATCAATACTACTAAATCGATAAATAAAAAGTACTATGCTTATTGTGACCAAAAAAGAAGTTAATTAGTCACATTTAATATATTTTTAACAGGTTGCAACAGCCCTGTGTTGTGCTGCAGCTGTCTACAGGGTTGGGGTCAGTTGCTGCACCTGACTCCTTCCATTCAAAAGGACAAATGTAACTTTAATATATAAAAATTTGTTTGCTCTAGTCCAAATAATGTCAGATGTAGCAGAGAGAGATGCAAATAGTGTTGTGACCGTCCCCAGTCTCTCCCCAAGTCTCAGGTCTTTGCACTCCTCACAAGTCCTCAACTTTTGAGTTTCCAGTCCTAAACAAGTCATAATGTGCTCTCCATCAAATCTGAATTTGATAGATTTACAAAAATCATGACTTTTCACCCATTTGTTTAAAACAAGTTTGTTAAAATGTTACTTAGTTGTTAAGCTAATATTAGCTTAGCATTAGCTCGCTAACTATGTTAATATCAGCCTCGACTTACTGTTCTTTGTGCAGCTTCAAAAGTCCAAGTCGAGTTGCAAGTCCTTTTTGATTTTGCCATGTCATCAAGTTTATGATTCAAGTCTGACTCGTACTTGAGCCCACACCTCTGTGCAGGAAAATTCAATTTATAAACACATATTTTGTATTGATTGTGTTATTGCTAATGGAGAGTTTTATTGCATTTCATTAGTCAAGAATTAAGAACTAACAATATTTTGTAAAATGTTATCGTCGTATCCACTCAAAGTAAATTAATAATCTGACGTGCTTTGACTTCAATTAAATATGTTCACTTACCATCCAGATTATCATCATTCATAATGGATGTGTGATTCTTTTTTAACTGTTCCTCAGTCATTACGTGGCTGCCGTCCAAAAGAGCTTCCTCTGAGATCATGTGCACACTGGAGTGAGTGAATCCTGTAATTGACATATTAGCTTTGTCAGTTTCTCGGCCCTGAGCCCTTGAGTGGTGTGGAGTAAGTGCTGGCGTTGTAGTTAATGTGATTCCAGACCCAGAACGGTTTTCACTGCCAACTCGCTCAGACTTCTTTGGAATGATGAGCGTCTGTGATGCTGTACTTTCAACACTTTGTCCACTGCCCTCCACAGAGTCACCGCTGCTCTGTGAGTGGAGGATCAGTCCACTGGCCAAGCTGTCCGGGGCCTTGTTGTCTCTGCCCGTGCCTCGAGTTATTCGGACTGAATCAGAGTGGTGCAGTGAGTGAGGAGTTTGAATAAGGTTTCCAAGTGAAGAGAGAGACATGGTTAGGGTAATGAAGAGTAAAGATGAACGCCCCATTTTGACACTTTTGATGTTAAATCCAAACCCAGAAACCTATAGAACAACAAAGGAGAAACACAGGAACAGCATTAACAGGATGCATTATTTTCCACTACACTATCTTAAATAACTGAAAAAGAGTTGACAGTAGAAAACTTTCGAGAGGTTAAGTACATGTGAAGAGTCACACAGATTCCCAGATAATCAACCTTGTGTTTTAATCCTATAAAGGACAATAATTCCCCCTGTGTAATCCATTGGGTTTGCACAGTCCACAACATCTGTGGATGGTCTGTCTCAGCAAAAGTGCAACACAACTTGGCAAAAACATGGAGGTTCTCAGCAAGAGTCGGTCTGATCTCTCTGTGACCTGTGGTCACAAATGTCAAGCTGCCACAGTATTGTGCATAATAATATTCTTTTCTGCATGGCATAAATATTTGCAGGTGATCTGATACCCCAAATGCAACCTCTGTCTATTTGAGATGATAAATGAACATTATTTCTGTTTGTATATTTTAAAACTGTTCAAAACACAAACCACGAGTTTAAGAAATGCCTTGTGTCTGACTTACTGTGGAGAATTTTACTATTTGATATAACGGTGCACTCCATCAGAAACAACTACAAAGAATTAAGAAAGGCTTTAAATGCAAAGCTCCTTGTATTCTGTAAAACAACAGGATGGTTTCCCACCAGTTTTAACTACTAACAGCCATTTCACAATCACAATCCAGGTAACTGCCAATCAGGTTTTCACATATAAGGAATTTGGTTTGGTGTACTGGTGCATAACATAAACAAAAAACAGAGAAAGTTAAATTTAAAGAATAAAAAGAAATATTGCAATAATCAAGAGACATGAACATAGCTTGGAATTAAGTTGTATTAAAAATATGAAAAAAAGATGCGTGCAGTATATCTGAATTTAAATTTAAGATCTGTGCACTTCTTAGTTTGTGCAGAAATGTGTGAAATTGTCCAAGGAAGGATAACTAACATTACCAAAACACAATGTCCCATTGCTGAAACTATCTCTCTATAAATTAAACCCAATATTTTAGGTGCTCAATAAAAGCAGATAACTCAGGCATACCTGTGATCCCTGTTGCTCTGCTTCCTTTTACTGCGTCATGAGCAGCACTCCACCTCCACTGTAGCTGCAGTACAAGCGTGTCTAACATCTGATCTTTGATGTGGGACATGAGGAGCATCACAGTGAGGGTTGAACACTTTGGATTTACAGACATGCTCACAGCCATCCAACTGACGTCTTATTCCTATTACTGCACCGGCTGCTTACTTGGCAGCCTGCCATCCTGATGGCACCTGCAAAAACAATGATAGAACTAAAACACCAGGGCTCAGTCCTAAAATAACGCACCATATTGAGGCTATCACCTTCACATGGAGAAAGTTTTTTGTAGATTATTGTCTTTTAATAAAAGCCCAGAAGCCTCACCTGTTTCTCTGCAGCAGTTGTGTGAAGGCAGGCTAAATCCCTTCTCTAAAGGATTACATTAAGTAGCACAAAGTCACATGAAGTGATAATGTGAAGCAAGCTAGACACGAGCACCCTAGTAATGTTTCATGCCAACTCACTGGCTTATCAGTTTGAAATGTATTCACATGTGAACAGTTAGTGCAAGCACAAATCCTCAAAAGGGCTTTAGGTTTACAGATACCCCTACCCAGGGTAGCACAAAACACGACCACATATTTTCATAGCTGTGACATGCTCCCTTCATGACATGGATAATCATAACATAAATATCTTATCCAGCAGAAAGTGGTGAAATTTATCATTATATTGACTTAGCATAGAATCACATAGGTGATAAAGTGCAGAGTAAAACCAATCTGGAGGTGGCGGGGGTGCCTACTTAACCTCATTTAATTTTTCATCTATAGCTTGGATTTAGTTAAAATTTGCACTGATATCTGCCCTGGTGTCTGCCCTCCACCTCAAAGCAATACCAGTCTAAAAATATCTATTAATGATAGAACTAGAGACTTTTAAACACAAAGTTGTCATAGACAAAAATGTCATACATTTTTAAAAGAAATTTACTTTTACTGAAGGTAATATATGATTGTATGGTGGTACAGCTGAGGTCATCACATTGATTAGGAAACTTGGCACAAAAACAATATATGTGTTGCAGTAAAACAAAATGTGTAAAGTGAGAAGAACATTGGATTTTATTCATGTTTATATGTAACAAAGGATGTAAAAATAAAAATCTGGCACATTTCAAGCTCCACTGTAATAGATATTGTTAGTTTTTCTACAGTTTTTTAAAATACTTATTAGTTTCAAAGTTATTCTCCCTTCTATTCTCTCTGTTAATTCTCAATGTATGTCCTAAAACTCATAAGATGAAAAACAGCATTCCAGCTTCCATACCTTTTTATCCCTCTGTGTATGTCTGTCCCATTCTCGTGAACATGATATCTCAAGAACGCCTTGAGGGAATTTCTTCAAATTTGGCACAAACGTCCACTTGGACTCAAAGATGAACTAATTTTGGTGGTGAAAGGTCAGAAGTCAAGGTCAACCTAACCTTGCATACAACTCATTCTTGTGAAAGTGATATCTCTAGAACACCTTGAAAGTATTTCTTTCAAATTTGGACTCAGGGATGAAGTGATTAGACTCTGGTGGCCAAAGGTCAAAGGTCACTGTGAACTTGCATCTGTCTCATTTCATGAAAATGATATCTCAAGAAGGCCTTGGAGGAATTTCTTCAAATCTGGCACAAACATCCACTTGGACTTAAGAATGAACTGATTAGAATTTGGTGGTCAAAAGTAAATGTGACCTCACAGTACATGTTTTTGGCCATAACTTAATACTTAATTAGCTAATTATGGCAAAATTTCACACAAATGTCTCATAAGATAAAATGATGAAGTACTGATATTTTCTTCATCCAAAAGGTCAAAGGTCAACTTCACTGTGACATCATAATTTTCTGCAAAAATACTTTTTTTTTGCCATTATTCACCATATATGTCATATCTCAGGAACAGAAGGGGAGACATTTAGTCAGATACTGACTTGGTGACACTAATCTTGGGTGTCCAAGATCTTCTGTGCTGCTGGGGGAAGATGTGTGTGAAGCATCCATGTTTTCACAGACATTGATGTGAACTGTAACTGCAATTTGACGGGTTCACTGAGGCATACAACTGCAAAGCGGTAATTCCATTTTTTTTATTATGATGTTTTTGGACTGTAAAATGTGGAGGGGTTCATCACTGCTGCCCCCCGCATGTGAAATCTTATGCCAAACATGACACGATACATGGTGAGTAGATGTCATGCATACTATATGATAAAATGTATAAAGAATTGTTATTCATGGCCACCACTTAGATGAATCTTATTAGGTTTAAACTATGACTGCAGGCAGTTTTATTTGAGTTAAAATATTAATAAACAGGTATTACTCCCACCACCACTTCCACCACAGAATCCCTGCAGAACCACAGATACTCTGCAGTGAGTGTGGGAATTAACTCTTCCCTGTCCAGTCTGTAGGGGACACAGCCTATGCACACAGCACATCTGTGCCGGTCCACCTTAAGATGAGCGAGAGGCAGTTTGTTGTGGAGCGTACTGGGGGAGGCCCTCAGCGGCACATGCCTGGCTCTTTAAGGCAGACTGGGGAAGTTAGATTTTGTTAAAGGTACATGCATTCAAATGTTTACCAGGCGTCACCAAAACATCCCTCACAGTCATATTAACGCTGAATCAGTTCATATAAGTTTATCTGTCAGTTTTAAATTATTTAAGTTTAAACTTCCACAGACAAAAGTATAATGATAGAAGGTGTAGTCTGACAAATAAGGTCATAAACCAGCTTTTTACAGAGTTTTTGAACACATCTCATATATATATTCTGGCCTATGGAGATTATCATGAGGCAAAAAATAAAATAAAATAAATCAGTTAAAGACAACACAGTTTTACATTAAGTGTGAATTTTGATTCTTTTAGAGAATAATCTATATAAATAATTTTCATTCAGATTTAATATACCATCTTTACATCTATCTGACTGCATATATATGAATGCTTATTCTCACTTTACCTGTTTTTTCTTCAGTTATTTCCCCTCTCTGCTTTTCAGTGCTAGATAATAAAGAAAAAGTAGTAATAAATAATAATGCATGGCTCAAAATCTCCCAGTATTCGTGTGATCGATTTTGAATTGACCAAATTATGGTTGCAGCATCATTACAGCCTATGTGATGCTGCACACTGAGCTGCATGCCTTGTCTACATGTCATGTCTCAGGATGGGGACTCTTGTGAACAGCACACCGCTGCAGGCCGCCTCCTGGTAGAGCAGTCTGGTGAGGAGCAGCGTTGTTTTCGGGGCCTATACTTCCGTCATGTTATATCTCTCTGCATAAACACTGTGGAGTTTTGTTGCATGTGTGGCTGTGTGGGTGTAGGTCGTAGTAACACCACTCGGAATCCAACTCGGATGCGTGAACCTGCGCTTTGCAGGAGCAGTTAAACTTGTTTTTGCACCGCAGCAGCGGCAGCAGCGTGCCTGGATCTCTCCCTGAAACAAGCAGACGTCAGACCTCGCCTTCTCGCTGCTGCTGCTCTTACACTTTTATCGCAATTCAAATCACAGCATTGCTTGCGGGGTTTGCACCGCAGATACACGGGCTATGTGGCGGAGTGGACGGCATGCTGGTGGAAGCTGTTAGACGTTTATCGGCTTTTTAGTTTTAAACACCGTGCCTTGGCGGAAAGGAGAGGATTTCGTTTTATTTAAGGTAGCATGACAGGATCCAGAGCCCTCGAGCTAGCTGGCTAACGCTAACACGGTGGTTAGCTAGCGTCATGTTGTTGCAATGAATGGACTGTTGCTTTAATGTTGAACTTGTGCTGTGAGCAAAATATGTAGCGTAATTGTATAATTTACAGTAGACATCACATTAATAGTCGGCGGTGTTAAATACAGTTAGCTAGCAAGCTAACTGCTCATATGGGCTGTGACAAAACTGCCAAGCTAACGTTGCTAAGCTAGCTTGCTAACCGTAGCTGTAACGTAGACAATGTTATTAGACAGCACATAAAGTCAAGCTTATATATTGTGGGTGCTCTATAAACACTTAATCACAATTATCTTTTATTACATAACATTTTAGACGTAGCTGTGAGTTATATCTGTGACTATAATGTTTAAGTTATAAGTAAAAGTTGAGGCGCAGCACTCATTGTATTACAAGCCAACATGCACTTTGTCCTGTGTGCTTCCAATATTACTCCACCGTCCTCCTATTTATCTAGCAGGGTTTTAAATGGTATTATTTAGCTAATTATGTCTGCTTGTATAATTACAATGCCTCCTCTTCATTAGAATACTCTTCATTATAGATTCCTGTGCTTTCAGTACACTCCATTGTACATGTGAGCTGTGTTGGACTTGATTAGACTCCCAAATGTATGAAAATGTGTTCCCATCTCTCCCAGGTCAATTGAGGATGAATGAACAGGAGAGTGGGGTGGTCTCCTTTGATGAATATGTGCGACAGAAGGCCCGCACTGTGCCTCAGCACAGGATGAAGGAGTTCCTGGAGTCTCTTGCCAAGGGCCCAGAGGTGCTGCAGGAGTTCAGCCAGCAGGGAGGGGCAGCCACCACCACCACAGCCATGGTGTACCAGCAGCAGGGCGCCAACTGTGTCTACGCAGACAGCACAGAGGTGGCTGGCTCTCTACTAGAGCTGGCCTGTCCGGTAAGGGCAGGTCTCTTTTTGTTATGGTTGTTGAATGATATTATTGATGTTCTTCACCGTGGTGCAATCTGCTGCACTTCCTATGTGTACGTGCTTTATGACAGGTACAGGTGACCTCGGCAGACATTTCACCTCACCTGTCTGTGCATCAAGAGTCTGAACAGCAGCTTCAGGTGCAGGTTAGTTTATATTGCAATGTCAGTTTCTCGCACTGTGATATACTGTGTTTACATTGCACAATACAGATGGAGCCTGCGGGGTATAGAAATGCTGTCATTGCTCACTGCCAAGAGGAAAACAAATGAGAAGACAGTGTGGTATTGGGGTAGATAATTTAGATTCATTATAGCTGGAGTGAAGTAGCTTTGTTCTCTCAGCTCTGATGCTTTCACCCATTCTCTGTTGAGAAAAGGAGGTGAGGAAGGATGTACGATTCCATTTCAAAACTAAATTGTCAGATTCTTCTCATCAGTTCTTCATCTTTTCCTTTGAGACTATAGCTGCCATTTTACTGGTGATATGATCATATTGTCCATAGTAAGATATTCTATTGTTAATGCTTTTAGGTAACTCCAAACATAAAATTGTAATAATAAATCTACATTCCGATTAATGTGCACTCTTTCTTAAATGCGAGCTGCCTTGTGTGTCCATTCAGCAACACATTCACTCAGTTTTGTTATTCATTTTCTAGTGGTTATTACCCTCTCTCTCTGCTCCCTACTGGTTGTTAGGAGGTTTGGCTGTGACTACACATTAAAGTGGGATCGATGATTCACCTTCTCTCCACTGCTGCACTTGTGCCTCTCACTGATTAAGTTTATGGATATGACTTAAAGGGACAGTTAACCCCCAAATCAAAAATACAAATTTTCCTCTTACCTGTAGTGCTATTTATCAGTCTAGATCATTTTTGTGTGAGTTGCTGAGTGTTGGTGATATAGGCCGTAGAAATGTCTGCCTTCTCTCCAGTTCAAGGGAACTAGATGACACTTGGTTTGTGGTGCTCAAAGTGCCAAAAAATACATGTGAAATACTCAACAGCAATGTCTCTTTCCAGAAATTGTGACATGGTTACTCAAGATAATCCACAGACCTTGTTGTGAGCAGTTTTATGTAGGAACTATTTTCTTTTTACCAAATTACATCCACAACTGTATCACTGTGCAGAAAGAAGTGTGCATGTACTGCTAGCTCACCTAGCACCATTGAACCAGCTAACATTACAGCTCAGCCAAAGAGGACACCATAAATGTTTGCATCATCAAGTACAAGCCTCTCAGCCATGAGTAGATGCACACTTCCTTCTGTGCTGTGATTCAGTCGGGTGTATTTAGGTATAGTTTAATAGACAGAAAATATATCTTACATGAAGCTGCTCAAAACAAAGTCTGTGGATCATCTGGATTATTTCATCTCTCTTTCCTTGGTTAAATTCACTGATACACTGTGATGTGTAGACGGGTTGACCTGCTCAATATTGATAGTTTTTGTTAGTGCAGTTTTGCATTTCATCATCAGAAATGTCATAATTAAATTGGAGACAAACTCACTTTATCATCTAAAAAGTATTCCACAGTGCGTCCTTGATCAGTAAGGTAAGTCATTGCTTGTTATGACTGCTGACCGGCCTCTTTCTCTGTGCCAGGTTCAGATTCAGGAACAGCAGGGCCAAACAGTTGGCCAGGTTCTTCAGGTGGCCTCGCCCTCACAGCAGGACCTGCAGGGAATCTCAACAGCCCATCTTGTACAGCAGGGAGAGCTCACAGAGGAGCAGCAGCAGCAGGTAAGGGGTTTATTTAAGCGGTCACCCATATCGAGTGCATCCATGTGGTGCTGGTTTGTGAATGTATCAACTGTTGTTTCACAGATTCAGGCGCAGCTGGTTGCAGCTGTAGCTGGAGGACAACAAATCCAGTTGTCGAGTGGACAACAAATCCAGTTTCAAGGAACACAGCATATTCAGCTGCCAGGCGGCCAGCAGATTCAACTTCAGGCTGGCCAACAGATTCAACTACAGGGTGGCCAACAGATTCAACTACAGGGTGGCCAACAGATTCAACTACAGGGCGGCCAGCAAATTCAGCTACATGATGGCCAACAAATTCAGCTACAGGGTGGTCAACAAATTCAGCTACAAGGTGGTCAACAGATTCAGCTACCAAGTGGTCAACAGATTCAGCTACAAGGTGGTCAACAGATTCAGCTACCGAGTGGTCAGCAGATCCAGATTCAGACCATAGAGGCCATGTCTCCTTCGCATCAACAGGACTCTCCCAGAGAGGCAGAGAGGAGGTCCGCCACTGTCTCAACTGTTCTCCAACCTGCCAAGAAGCGTAAGGTGGATGTCCCTCTATCTGTGTCGTATGCTGTTCCACAGGGCCAGCAGGTGGCCACAGTTCTAGCCATCCCTCAAGGGCAGCAGCAGAGCTACGTGTCCCTACGACCAGATCTGCTCACTGTTGACAGCGCCCAATTGTACAGCGCTACAGGAACTATCACAGGTCCCACAGGTGAGACGTGGACCATCCCTGTGTACTCTGGTCCACAGCAGCAGGGGGTAACCCACATTGCCATACCACAGGACTCATACAGCACAGTGCAAGTTACCACCACCAACGGTAAGGACAAAATGTCCCCCGGTTCCTCTTCAAGATCCGCAGATGTGCAGTCGGCCTCCGCTGGGACGCAGGAAGAAATCGTACAGACCCTGCAGTTCATGAACGGGAACATTCACATCCCTGTGGCAGTGCAGACTGTCGGAGGGACTTACAACACTACACAGTCAGTACACATATGGGACCCAAGTCAGCAGCAGAGCCAAGGAGACGAGGGACAAGAGCAGCAGCTCCATCTGCAGGTTTGGGCAGACTTTTTCATAAACTGAATTTGTCCTATAGCTCAATGCACATTTAAAATGTATATTGTATCTTCATGCTATGAGGTGAATGAAAAATATGGCAGACATGTATCGTTACAGTCAGGAACAGTACATCCAATCTGCCAATTCAATGCCGCTGATTGGTCTTACAAACACGTCTTGCTGTTTTGGAACTATCAGTATTAAAATTCACTGGTTTCTATTTAACTTATGTGTTTTTTTTACACTGGTCTTAAAAGTGACGAATTATTGCTGCTTATTCATACAATTATTTGGCTGAATTCTCATCATGTTATTACAGAGATGTGTTTTATTCTTGCTGCTGTCTTTCCCAGAAAGCATAAACTGTGATGCTTTTGTTTTGGTCTTGCGCAGGGTCACATGGAGGCAGAGGCTCACGCTGAGCCGCCTACAGAGATTCTGGTTCCTGTTTGCCTAAAGCCAGAGGAGGGCCTGGAGGTCTGGCGTCTTTGGGTGACACGAAAAAACGCAGAGCTAAACAAGCAGGAAAAGACAAAGCTCGCACCCATAGGACGTAAGTCGGCTATTAATTATTTGAACATGTATTCATATTTGTCAAACACTGTCTATCATTACACATTACTTACTCAAACCACTAGAAGCAATAAAATTTAATTCCCTGGTCATATTGTACTTCTTAATAACCCTTTATCTGCTTGATACTGAGAAATAATCGTGTTTAGTTTACAGCACTGATAAAAGCTTTGCCTCTGCTCATCTCTCTGTGGCTGCATACAGGTCGTCAGCCGCTGCGTTTCCAAGAAGACTTGGTGTCCAGCGCAGTAGCCGAGCTGAACCTGGGTCTTTCCCTCATGACGCAGGAGGCACGAGGATCAGAGGAAGAGCAATTCACATCTGACGTTCTATATTATGTTTTCTTGTGTATACAAAAGGTTTGTATCCCCATGATCAAATGGTGTATCACGCCAAAATGCTGTCTAATTTTAGTTTTAACTTTCACATTTATTTTTTCTTTTAGTACCTCACGGAAAATGGACGTGTGGATGACATCTTCTCTGATCCGTATTACACACGTTTTTGTGGGTGTTTACACAAAATCCTGGATGGTTGGAAACCCAGTGTCCATCCTTTAGGTAAGAGAGACTCAATATTTGCTTTTCTATTTGTTATATAGAGAGAATTCCTCACTGTTTGTTTTCATCTCAGGTTATGTCATTCCAAGTCATGTGACAGAGGAGATGCTGTGGGAGTGCAAACAGCTCGGTGCACATTCACCATCCACGTTGCTTACAACTTTAATGTATTTCAACACTAAGTAAGTCACCGCCTCTCAGTACTGGATGTCCCGAATCTGTTCTCTTTAACATACAAAGACTATGTTTGGTGTGTTTAGGAAATTTGAGTCTAAAAAAAAAGGCAATTTTGAAATGGAAATTGTGAAGGAACCCTCTAAGTATACTTTAAGAAATCCTTACTTTCCTCAGACTTAAATTCAAATTCAGTTACTGGCACAAACCAAGACATGCATTTAAGATGTAATTACTGCGTATGGTAAAAAAAAAAATATATATATTTCTTTGTCACAGGCATTTCCACCTGATGACACCAGAACAGCACATGAAAGTAGCTTTCTCCAAAGTCCTGAGGCACACGAGGAAGAACCCCGCCAATGCCAAGGACAAAGCAACCAGTATCCGCCTTCTCAAAGGACAAGGTCCCCACAGCGCAGCACAGAAAGGTGCTCAATACAGTAAGCTTTACAGTGAAGTCTTTCTATGAGTCACAGCCTTTGACAGTAGACGTTACTGACCTGTTGCTGTGTGACGTCTGTTTTAGGAAACGATGACATGTACGAAGAGCAGATCGAGGATCCTGAGAATCCTCTTCGCTGCCCCATTAAACTTTACGACTTTTATCTCTTCAAATGGTGAGTGACTCTTGATCCCATGAATACTGTGTAACTGGATACTTGGGTATTTTTTTAACCTGGACCCTATTGTCCCATGTTTTTGTGTCTAAGTGACTAATGGAGACAATTTTTAGAGCGAAAAAGGGTGCAATGTAATCCCTACAGGCAATTGTGCATAGTCAATGTATGTCCATTAAAAGTTCTTGCATTTGCCACTGACAGGCTCAGATTGTTATTGTAAGTGTCTAAAAACACTATGGAAAAGACCCTACAGAGAAATTAAACATTTTTCCTCACTTTTCAGTGGTCTGTTACTGTGACCAAGTCGCACTCAAGGAGAAGTCTTGTTTTAAAATCTCATGAGAGGTGACTTGTTGGAGCAAAAACAACAGGGGAAATGTAGGTTAGAGTTGGAGAGAGGACTGCAGGGAAGAGTTTGTTGTGTGTAGTACAGAGAGCATTGCTCAGTGTTTTCAGTGTCATGGCTGAATATTTCCCTGATTTTGACAATGTTGAAAAGTCCATGAGATTTCAAAACAAGACTTCTCCTGGTTACACACACTGACAAACAGACTGGATCAGGAAAAGGTGAGAAAAAGCTTTTAATGTTTCTGTAGGCTCTTTCCTAAAATGTTGTTAGATACTTAAAATAACAATCTGAGCCTGTCAGTGGCCACAACGGTCTCTCTCAGTAGTGGACCAGTTTTAGAAATTGTTGTCTCCATTAGTCACTTAAACACAAAAACATGGAAAAATTGGGTCGAGGTTGAAAATACCAAAGTCTCCCTTCAAGTGCATGTATATATACCTCGAAAATACTTACTCTTTTCTTTTCCAGTCCTCAGAGTGTTAAGGGACGTAATGATGCATACTACATGACTCCAGAGCCTGTTGTTGCACCAAACAGTCCGATGTGGTACTCCTCTCAGCCCCTCACGAGCCAGCAAGTGGAGCACGTGCTGGCCCGTATCCTCGTGGTCCGAGAGATCCAGGATATCATCAGCCGTCATGAGCTGAACTGAGCGGGACTGGTCGGACTCATGGGAACTTTTTCTCCAGTCACTGATTGTTGACTATGCAGTATCCATCCTGACTCTATAAACCTCAGTGACCATCATCTCAAATCAAATGGAACAATCATCATTTCTCCCGGAGGAGTGCATCATCAAAGCAAAGATTTTTTTTTTCCTCTTACATTTTGTTTTCAGCTGATGGGTTGGACTGTTCTTTCTCTTGACTACCTTTGTAAGCCATTGCCTCTGTAACCTTTAAACTGGCATGTAAGGGAGGCTTTAGTCTCACCACTGCTGGACTGTGATTGACCTCCTGCCCTCTGAGCTCAGCAGAGGTGGTACATCTTCCTGTAAAAGTATCAGTATGATATGAGGATATTTAACCATTCACTACTTAACCTCACAGACTGTTTACCACATCTTCAAAGTCCCACTATGATACATGACATCTTAATGGACAATGACAGGGACCACTGCTCACAACTCTTTTTGTATACTGACTGTATTTTGGATCACGTATTGTTACGTTCAAAGCTGAAGAACTTGTGCCTGTTTTCAAAAACAACGTCATAATTTATGCTTGTGGATTATTGGAGTCGAACCTCAGATATATTCACAAGGTCAAAGTGCTATATAACGTAGTCATTCAGGAGATTGGAAATATATTTTTTCTCAGGTCAAAGCTAGTGATTTAAACACCCATTGAGGACTTTTGCCAACATATTCCTGTATGTATGTACAGTAGGTGATTAAACAGGATGTGCAGATGGGAACACCTTTGTTTAGCTAACACAGTATCAGTCCTTGTATCAAAAGTCATGACAAGCAATTCAAGAATGGAGAGTATTCAACGCTGTGTTGTCTGTAGAAATGCAACTGACATTTGAAATGAGGATTAGTTGTGGGCCTTCTTAAAATGCGTCCGTAGCCTAGCGGTGCCTCCTCTGAGATGACATGTACATACATTGACAAAAACAGTGATGATACAGTCCTGCTTCATTTGTTTATTACTAAAAATGAGTTGTATAGCACTGTACAGTCATTTTCCTTTTGATAATTCTACATAACCTCACAGTAACCAAGCTTGAGCTCCCATTTAACTTTTAACGGGACACATAATATACTTTATGATGCAGTCTGAATCCGTCACAGCTGATTGCAACGACATTTCAACGTCACTTGGATTGCAAAGAATTCAACAAAAAAGGAACGATGTGGTTATTTATCGTCCTCCTTATCAGGCAGTGTTAAATTCAGTCGATGCAACGCTTGTGAGAAGTATTTAGGCAAGGGACACGACACGCTGATGTTGGCTTGTTTGGCTCCTAGAAGCGTCAGCTGTCGAGCGTGCACATGAAGAGGAAGATGGCGGATCTTGCTCTGTTCCAGTCCTAGCTTTCCCAGCACACGCTCCGGTAATTTCTGTGCAGCGAAAAGAACAAATGCGTGAATTATTTTAGAAGATAGAGATTCTTAGTGACAGACACTGAGCTCTTGCAGACATTTCGGTCCTCCTATCCATGTTTGTATATATTTAATAATATTACCAAGTGCAAGCACCAGAAATTCAACTTCCACACTTGACATGAATTAAAGCACGACCCAGCAAATTAAAAAGGCACTGTTTGGATGCCAACAGGGTAGGTTTGAGGATCAGTAAGACCATAAAAGTTACTAGTTTTCTAAAGTCCACAACCTTAAAGATACGCTGGATTTGACTAAAAAAACAATGTATGGACTCATACAGAGGTAATCCCTCTCAGTCATCACTTCTGACCCACTAGAAGTGTGCGGTGAAACTCTGCCCTCTGTATTTTCTGTGTTAGAGGCGTTTATGGGTGCTCGGGTGAGGCTGGGGCTTTAGGAAAAGGTAGTGACCGGGTACCAGACCGTAAGCAGCAGGCATCCAAGAGACACAGCACCAGAAAACATGCAAATATAGTGAGGCTAAATGCCAGAAGAGAGTGAATCTGGGGTTGTGAGTATATTAAACAGTCACTGACTATCCTAACTTTTAAGGCAGGACAAGTAGGATTATCCTAAAAATAAAATATAGAATCATACAAAAATAATCTCTCAATCATCACCTATGACAGAGAAACTGCCCTCAGCTTGTTTTTTTCCTGATTTTGTTGTGTTAAAGGACGTTTCAACTATTAGGCAGTGGTGTGTAGCCCTCAGGCAGCATGCAGGGTGTGCCACATCATAAGCACGCATTAATAGAGCTGGGCCAGCTTTGAATGCTGTGTTTACAAACTGCAACTGACAATTCCTACTTATTCTGCCTTCAAAGTGGTATAATAAGACCTAATCAAAATATTTGCTAAGTGGGAGGGTGATGACATTGCAGGATGGCGGCTGGCTCGTCCTCAGCCCACAGTTTGACAGTTCGCATTTCAGTTCATCAATGAGATACGAAGGCTATATCTGTACATATTTCACTGTAACCTCTTGATCTGAAGTCTAACCATAAACTTTAAAACTGAGGCTGACGTAGTCACCATGACATCACCCACTAGTTTGTAGACTACCGTTTTGAGCTATTGCCATCTTGGTTATTGTGAGCCAGAAGCTACAATATTTGGACGAGAGGGTGGCTCTAAGAGGACAGTGCGGTGGTAGGGACTTGTCGATCACAAGGCAACAATGCCTTACAGTACACCCTGCTTAATCGTCTCTTTTACTCTAAATAAAACCGTGACTTTCAAAATGAACATAACGTGGTATTGAAGAAGTCTCAAAACTAGCAACTGAGACTATGAACTCATTAGGAAAATGTTGACATGTTGAGGTAATAAATCAAAATAGAAGCAGGGTCATTTTCTCATAGACTTGAATACAATCTGACGTTTTTTGCAACCAGTGGAGTCGCCCCCTGCTGGACATTATTAATGCAGGTTTAGTAAGCATAGAGTGGCCTTGGGATGATGTTCCTCTGAAGGCCGATGCAGAAGTTAGCGTCGCACTGGTTCCCTCATCAGAAAGCCTGTGGGGCTTGTTCCACTGGATTTTGGATTATTGATAATTAGCTCCATGGCAAACAAACATTTATGATACTTACATGTTTTGTTCAGCAAGATCATCTTCACAAATGATGATGACTGTCATAATTACTGAAGCCTAAATGCAATTGCCAGAGGTAAAATGCTAATGCCAGGCTATAAATGAACTACGCTACAGTCGCATGACCTAAAGTCACCACTTTGACAAGACTGTTAAGCTGTGTTCGGCGCGGCTTGTTGTGATGTAGTTTCCTTTAGCCACTTGTTAGCAACTGCCTTCTTTAAGACACATAAAAGCTTCAAAATTCACGAGTGGGGTGTTTACTTAGGTATTTTACGTTGTAGAACAAAATGTGAAAGTCTCTGTGTGAACCACAGACCTTATTTCAGGAGTCTAACCAAAAACACATTCAAAAAACCCACTGACTTTGACACGAGGAAACTGAGTGGTAAATTGCTAACTCATTCCCAAGTTTAGGACTCATTCCGTGGGCACTGTACTGGCTTTACTTTTCAGACCCAAGGTCTAACTCCTTGGGTGTAGCAACATAAAACCACACAGGCTACTTCTCATATTCACTTTCTGCCGCCAAAGGCAAAAGAAAGAACGAATACGGCACATGAACACAGGGCTGTCAGCAGCTAAATAAGTAATGTCTTATCTGACTAATCTTGGTTGCGACTGCCCCATCTCGCCTGTAGAATAAGTGTGTCTTACACAACCATCATGCACATTGAACTGGGATATTTTAACAGGCATACACTTTAAAAAGGAATATCTGCAGCTTGATGCCACAGTATGCAGAGTACAGCTTTAACACCAGATAAGCCTCAGTTTGTCAAAAAGCAGCTGATAATATACCACTCTTGCTTAAGTATTATTTGATGGAAGTGGTATGCAGCCAATACTCTATTGGCATTTGCCACTTGTTAACACACTCCTGTGATACACTGCAAAGATATTTTACCTGAGGTGCCAGTTTGCTCCAGTGGGAATATTTGTGGTCACCAAGAATGGGGCATGTCAGAGCGAGTGCCATGTGAACTCTCATCTGGTGCTTCACTCCTGTGAGCACAAGGAATCAGACATGTAGAAAAATGCGTCTTCGATAGAAACGTAATCAACTGAACAGTCGTCTTCTTACCAGGAAAAGGCTGGAGCTCCACGAGGCTGCAACCACTGCTGCTGTCCAACACTCTGTACTTGGTCACTGCAGCGTGGGCTTGCCGATGGGCGCGGACTTTGGTCACACCATCGCCTGCATCATTCATTCTGTAAAGAGGACTTAGACCCATCTGAGATTTCAAAGAAATAAAGTTAATATGAATAGGTCTACAATAACATCAAAAGTATTTAGTGTATAACATGAAACATGGAAAAGAAAGTATCTCTAACAACAGCTAATTATAAGAGCATCAAAACCACAGAAGAAGAGACACCTTGTAGTGTGGCTTAGAACCTGTGACCTCTCTCTCTATGATGGGGATGTCAATCACTCCTTCAGATGGAACAGGCACACCGACTGTGATGACCCTGAGGAGGAACAGTGCACACATGAACAACTGAACAACATGTTAACTGCAGCATGAGGTGCGGCAGTATGGACGCCTCTTCTATCCCCTCGCCGTATCTTACCAGTACTTTCTCTGCACTTGGTTATTTCTTTGAAGGTTGAGGATGTGCTCCACTACTTCTTCCCTCCTGGCCAGCAGGAGAGCTCCTGTCGTTTCCTTCTCCAGCTTCAGACAGGGGAGCAGCTGAGAGTCAGACTTGATCTTCAGCCCATCCATCATTTGGGCAAGAACAGGAAGCACAGAGGAGATGGACGTGACCCTGGAGTCATCTGAGAGCCACAGCAACAGAAACAAATGTGCATGCAATAAGGTCCAGATACTCCAACTTCAGCATGATTTGAGATTTCTGACTCTAGTTTGTAGTTAACACCTATTCCAGTGCTGATACTGCAGTATACAATGTGTGTAATCACCACCACTTGAAGAGAACCCAACCATAAATCAGCCGATTAATATTAATGGCCAAAGTCTTCTTACTATCTGTATGAGCACATACAGTATGTTGTCAGATAAACAAATAAATTTGGGTCTTCAATTTAAGATGTTTTTCATAATCAATAATAATCTTTTGGTCTACAAAATGGTCTACAAAATGGTTGAATAAAATGTCCGTCACAACTCCCCGAAGAGCTGAAATTTTTTATTAGACTGACAGAATGTTAATCTGCAACACATTTAATAATCATTTGATCCCTTATACGTAATATTTGCTGGTTCCAGTTTATCAAATGTGTGGATTTGCTGTTTTTCTGCATTGTATTTCATTTAAAGTTGAATGTCTGACTTGTGGACTTGGCAAATAGGACATCTGAATATATGGTGGGTCTCTTATGATGGGTATTCTTCTTTCTTCCTTAAATTTATTCTACTGAATTAAAAAGATAATCGACAGCATAATTGATCACAAAAATAATCAGCAGTTGGGTAAGTCCAAAACAACAGAGATGCTAGAAATTATGACATATATGAAACTGCAACCAAAATATTAGTTGCACTTCATTTGAATGGGAAAACAGATAATTGGGTTTTTTTTCTTTCAATCATCTAATTGATTAATCAACTACTCGTTTCAGCTCTAAAGAAATAATTGTACATGCATGATCTTATTTTTCTTACCAAATACCATAAAACAAGCTGTGTTTTACTGAACTCAAAACTAAATCAGTGTAAACATCAGTAATGTTAGCTGTTGGTTTACCTCTGACAGGAACACCATAGGGTTTGTTGATGACAACCACGTCTTTGTCCTGGTACAGCAGGTTTCTGTGCAGGTGTTTGGCCAGCACGTTGGGATGAACATTTTGGAGCTGCAGACTGAACCGTTTCAGCTCCATCACCCTCTTCTGCTGCCCGGACAGCTGAGGCTCCTCCGTCTGAGGCTTCGTCTTCTCCTGCTGAACCTTCCGGGCCAGGTCGATCGCCCTCAGGCGGGGTTTCTCTCTCGTGTCGGAGCCTGGATCGGAACCTGGATCAGAGCTTGGAGTCTGTTTAGCGGCGGTGGTGTTGCTCCGGGTGAGGGACGGAGCTGCCTCCGGACACCGGCGCCAGTTTTTCCGCGGTCTGACCAGAGAAGAGACGGTGTTCAGGCCAGACCTCCAGTTACTACAAGCTATTCTTCCACAGCTGTTCATTGTGGCGTTTAATTTTAGCTTAACGGTTTACATTAGCTTGAAGTTACAAACATAAACTCCAGAGGACACATGTTCTCCGTTTCCGGCTTTCGACTTCCGGGTCGCGCCTTTCAGAATAAATGCGCACAAGCTTTATTTTCCACACAATTTAAAAAGCAAGACCAATAATTTAGTAATTTTAGTAGTGATTTTAGTGAAACTTACACTCGTCCAGTTAAATAAGTGTCTCTTTTTGGAGTGGTGGTTGATATAGACTGGATTGAACGTCATAAAAAATATGACCTGCAATTTTTCTTCACGTAACAAAATTGTCAAACTGCTCTAAAAATGCGCTTTCATAAAAAACGAAGGACCAGCTGATGGCAGGAAAAAAAATATGTGACCCTTAAAAAAAACAATAGTAATCTGAAAACAGTGTAACTGTATATGAAGCAACAACTTCCGGTAGCGGTGTGTCGTATTTCCTTTTTCTGTTAATAGGTATGCTCGTTTATCATCACTTCCCAGTTTCCTGAAGCAACTAAATGTAGTGGTGACTTAATAGCACCGCCCACCTGGTAGATACCTACATTCAAACCAAATGCATTATTGTCACCGCAAGTTCCTCTATGGCTGCATATTGGGAATACTTCACACAATGTTTGGTTTTATTGTTGTTTTTCTGTAAAATGTAAGATTGTATTTCCCGTCAAGGCTCTGAAACGATATTACTCATGCTTTGCTGGACCAGAAACGACTCGCAGACTTCGTTAAATCAGACGGAGAGGTTCACATTTTGGTTTTACAGAGTATGTTTTGTATGAAAAAGCTGCAGACATGAGGATCACAGACAGCGTGTTGCGAAGTTTCAGGGTCGCGAGAACATACCGAGAAAACTCTCAGAAAGTAAACTGCGTGGACTTCAGCCCAAATGGTGAAAATGCGATATCGAGCAGCGATGACGACTGCATTGTGTTGTATGACATCAGAGAGGGGAAGTAAGTGGCCAGTATCACCACATTCACAAACAAGAAGTGACTGTGTAATGCATGCTTAAAATATATGAAAAGAATGATCAATTTCCATATCTTAATTGTTTAAATACATTTAGATAACCTGGCCAATTGAATGTGTTTAGACAATGGCAGTACAACATGTTTATTACTGTTCAAAATTGTTTAAATATTCTGTCCCTTTTCAGACCTAAAAGGACCCTGTACAGTAAGAAGTATGGAGTCGACCTCATCCGCTACACACATGGAGACACACAGACAGTGGTCTACAGCTCTAACAAGCTAGATGGTAATAACTCAGCAGTGACAGTCAGCTGTTGGCACAAAGCACCAAACACACACAAACACTAAAATGCCAGTATAGAGCAAATATGTGTGCTCTGATATGTTTTGTGTCTTGTAGATACTATCCGATACCTGTCACTCACTGACAACCAGTACATCAGGTATTTCCCAGGTCACACTGCAAGGTTAGTAACATAGGGTGGACAAAAATGTTGTGTGCTGTTTACAGATATGAATAAAGAAGTTTATTTCAAATCACTAAGCAATTATGAATACAAATTGTGCACACTAGGTGGAAAACTACCATCAAAGTATATGCACATTAGGGCTGTATCTAACATTTATTTCTGTAATGGGTAAATCAACGACTAAATCATCTAACAGTAATTTTCACAGCTGAATTATCCATTGATTGTTTTATCTCGATAATCAAATAGTTGTTTCATCCCTAAAATGTCAAAGAATGGGGGAAAATGTCCATCAGTGTTTCTCAAAACCCAAGATGATGTTCTGAAATGTCTTGTTTTGTCCACAACCCAAAGACATTTAGTTTGTTTTCAAAGAGGAGTAAAGAATGCAGAACATACTCACATTTAACGAGGTGGAATCAGAGAATTTGACCTTTTTCCTTCCTGAAGAATAAGTCAAACCAAATTATTGATTATAGAATTAGTTGGTGATTAATATAATCAATTGTTTGAGTAGTCATTGCAGCTCTATATATCAATTAATCATTGGTCTTCAAAACATCAAAAACATCTAAAAATGACCATCACAAATTCATGTTATCAACTGCCTTCTTTTTTTTTGTCCAACCAACGGTCCAAAACTCAAAATCTTCAGTTTACTATAATGTAAATTAAGGACAAGTAGCATATCGTCACATTTTAAAGGGATTAAACAAGAAAATATTTAGATTTTTTTAATCAAAAAATTGACATCAATTTTTATTTGATTATCAAAATAGTTGCTGATTATTTTTGTGTTGATTGACCATTTGATAAATGAACTTATTATTGCAGCTCTAATGCAAATCCTGTATTTTGTAACACTTATTTACTTGATGATGTGCAAACCAAGACGAAACAATATGCATTTACACATGATCTCAAAATGTAGATTTTTATACTTCCTTCAACTTTTTTACTCTAATATGCTCATAACAAATTTGAGGGAAAATGTGTGCTCACGTTTTTACTCAGTGTTTGACAAACTCACAAAGTTTTTTTGTTAAATTGTATTTCTGAACAGCATAAACACAGAGTATGAGCATGTTTATCTCTTTCACGACTACAAGTTTCACTTTGTCTTATCTGGTCTTTTCTTGTCTTGTTTTACCCTCTATAAAATGAAGGTTAAAGTTTGTTTGTTTTGTGACTTCTTTTTTTTTTGTTTTTTAAGAGTTATCGCTCTCTCCATGTCACCTGTGGATGATACGTTTATCTCGGGCTCGTTGGACAAAACGATCCGGATCTGGGATCTGCGTGCTCCGCACTGTCAAGTGAGTAGTCAGGCTGGAAAATGACACTTCCTCTGCTCTCTGTAATCAGTCACTCAAGTGTATAATTACAACTGCTGCTACTAAAGCTGTTAACTGCTTTAGATCAGGATGTTCCGGATTAATGCACCTGAAGGGACTGTACGTAACTTAATTACCAAACCCCCTTTAAAGAAGCACTTGTCCTTTGACCACTGGGTGTCCTCAGACACTGTCTGCTGTCTCAACTGAAAGATAATGCTGTCAGATATTATACTGTAAACAAAGGAGTGAGAGACATAAACGTGAGCACTGAAAGACAGAAAATGCAGTTATTAAAGATGGAGTAGGCGGAAATCTGAAAAAGGCAAAAAAAGAAAACTGGCAGAATTTGAAAATCCCCTCCTCTCTGCCCTAAGCTCCTCCCACCAGACGACCACGGGCATATGCACATGCTTCATACAGTGACCCAGTGTTTCCCATACATTGATTCATTTAATCTGATTTCATTGTAGCCTTACACACAGCACATTTACTCAGCCTCTTCTTGCCCTGCTCTCTCTCCGTTAACCATAACATGAATGAGCCAAGAATTAGCTAGCTAGTCACCTCACCTCGAATTCAGCCAGCGTAACCCCCCAGTGCCTGGTGTGACAGCAGACTGGTTGCCAGCGACAGCGCCAGATCTAACCTGTTGATCCAGCAGGGAGTTGGCGCTGTCTGGTCCCCCAGACCTTGTGTTTGCCCTGACTGGGTTAGCGTTGCCATGGCCACAGATTGGGTGTCCGTCCCCAGAGCTGCTGCCTGCTCTCCCCCCAGTGCGGTGGGGTGTGAGGTGGAGGACAGACTGTGATTTGAGGCTCTTGCTGACGTTGGCTACATAAATGCTCTTTGCATATCGTAAATTGCTTTCAGACCACTTGAAATACAATGTGCTCATAGTTTATAATGGGATTTCTGCCCAGTGAAGCCAAAATTAAACTTCCTATCTGAGCTTTAATTAGTAAGGTTCAAATATAGTGGCATTACTTTTACAATATCTCTATCAAAACCCAGATTTCCTGTAGCAGCTTCTCTTTTTTCTGTGGATTTATTTGTGTGTGTTTGTGTTTCAGGGTTTGACCAATCCACTGGGGAAACCTGTTTGTTCCTTTGACCCTGATGGGCTGATATTTGCTGCAGGGGTGGAATCACAGGCCATTAAACTATACGACCTTCGTGCTTTTGACAAGGTAAAAACTGTGTTAGGTTTTAGTGTTTTAGTGGGATTTGACTGTCACATACCTGTTTTAATGTTTTCTCTGTTGCACTGTATTCATATAACATTAATCTCTCTGTGAAAAGGGTCCCTTTGCCTCCTTTGAGACGAGGTTTAATCGCGTCTGTGACTGGACTGGACTCAAATTCAGTAACGATGGGAAGCAGATTCTCATCTCCACCAACGCAGGGATGATCCGTGTCCTGAATGCTTTCAATGGATCTGTGCTGCACACTTTTTCTGTAAGAGACACGCAGTAATTAAATCACACCTGTCTGCATATTAGTATGATTACTTGAAGGTGTTTCCTGTCTTTGCTTATTTGCAGGGCTACAACAACAGTAAAGGCATCTCTCTGGAGGCCTGTTTCACTCCTGACTCTCAGTTTGTCATGATTGGTAAGCCTGAACACGTCTGTGTTATTGTTCTGGCCTCTTCCTGTAATATCTCGGTTGTGACTGTATTAAAATGTGTGTTGTTTTGCAGGCTCAGAGGACGGCAGAGTCCATGTTTGGAGCACTGAGAGTGGGATGAAGGTGGCTGTGCTGGATGGGAAACATCCAGGACCCATCAACACTCTGCAGTTTAACCCCAGATACATGACGTTTGCCAGTGCCTGCACTAACATGGTGAGATCAAACTCATCATGACAGGAGCTGCTGCTTTTGGACAAACTGCTATAACCAAAATGCTAATTCATTATTTCCTTCCTGTTCTCCTAACAGACATTTTGGCTCCCGTGTATTGACGACTCATAGAGGGACGTTGCCAAAGTGAGTCCTGGTTGTTAAACAAATTGGGATGTGTTGGACTGGCTTCCTTGGTCTATTAAGAACCTCATGGTCTGATAGTTTATCAGAGACAAAACATTTTAAAGTTTTTACCAGCAGTATTTTTAAACATTTAAAAGGGTTTATGTTGCTACCTCTGTTTTTTTTTTTACAATATAGTTACACTACATTTCATTAACATTTTAAACCTATGTCTTGATATTTTATGTGAAATTTAACTAGTTAAAGGTCCAATATGAAGGATTTAGGGGCATCTATTGGCAGAAATGATATATGATATAATAAGGATATTTTTCTTTAGTTTATAATTAGCCTGGTAAGACCATCCTAATGACATAAACGTAGCATTCTGTTTCGCTCTCTGTATCAGTCTGGACTCGGTGCCTCCTCAAACACTTTCAGTGGGCGGAGTTCTCACCTTGACGGACAAACTCCTTCGAAACACCGGGGGACATCTTCTTCAACACCAACAGAGCCAGCTGACAGATCAAGCTTTTGACAAATTCAGTTTCTTTTAGAGTTAGCGCCTGTTTCTTTGGGGATCTGCTATCACTGTTCTGCGAGCTGCGGCTTGCATTTTACTTCATCATCTAAAGCACAGGCCCTGATAGACTGTTTACGCTGTCAACTACGGTGCATATCCCTGATTGGCCCCAACTAGAGAATTTCTGGAAAGTGTTTGGGGCGGCGCCGACTGATACAGAGCGCAAAAGAAAATGTTGAGCTAGCGTCATCAGGATGGTCAGGATGAGAAAAAAAAGCGTTTGTTACCTTAGAATAAGCTTTTTATATCTTCATAGGGAGGGGTCCTCTTCCATGGAGTCTACCATGTTGCACTGCCATGTTTTTACAGTAGCTCAGAATGGACAAACCAAACACTGGCTCTAGATAGAGCCACCATAATTAGCTGCCCCTTTGGAAAAACAGATTTTTAACATGAAACTTTTATTGAATGTTTTTACCAGTTTAAATCACTGAGTCTGTTTGTTTTGGAGACAAGAGACAACTCCTGCATAAAACCTCCTGACCTTCTGGGTCTTTAGTTATCAGAGAAAAAAGTGAGCACACATTTGCAGGTGCTGGGCTAACAGTAAAATACATGCAACATGTAAAATAGCATCAGAGAAATACTGATTTGTAATGTGAAACTGCCTTTTTTAGTGTTTTTACCGGCTTTAGTCACCTGTTCCATTTGTTTTGGAGAGAAAGAGACCTCTGCAGGAAATTTGGGTCCTGGTAAAAACCTAAACAATGAACACTAAAGGAATCTAACCAGGAGTTCACGCTTGGCACACTGGAGAAGTTTCGGCTGGTTGCAATCTGCAGTTGTCACTGCTCGATGCCACTAACTCCTCCACACTGCTTCTTTAATAACTAGTGTTTTTATTGTTTGAATATTTGATATTAAAGTGCTTTTGATAAAAATAAGAGCTACTGTTTTTTTTCTTTGTTGACATCCTTAGTCATATCATACACCAGATGAATCTTGATGTACAGTACAAGGGCTGAGACTAATGGTTATTTATAATAGTGATTAATCTGACTGTTTTTTTATGTTTGTACTTTTGTTTGAAAAAACAAAGTGTCAGAATGGGGAAAAATATGAATCACAATTACCTAAAGCCCAAAGTGACTTCTTTGTATCAGTTTACTATCACATAAGACAAAGACAAGCAGCAAATCCTCACAATAACTCTAACTGGGTAAAGTTCATTTTTGCTTGAAAAAACAAAAGCAATTCATTGATTTTCACGCTACTTGCAGATTAGATTTATTTCATTTAACTTAAGCTTCATACCAATACATGCGTCACATTCACTGAGAAAATATATATATCTTTCACAGTTTCTCCAATAAAACTGATATCAACAAGATTTCCCAAGTTGCTTATTGTATATGAATGATTACAACCTTAAACAGGATGAGTAATACAGAGTCTTTATAAATGTGTCTTTTTCAGATAATTATAGGATTAGTATGTTGGTGCTTCTCAGAACAATGACGCTACGCTCACAGGAGCTCACCTAACAGACGCAAACACGAGTTCACTCAGTCAGTAAACCAACCTGTGAACACACATGCAAGCGTGAGAGGAACGCAGTCAGTTTTAATCAATTTAATGAATGGGTGTTTTTCTTTTTTGTGTGTGTGCACATAAAGTGTGTCTTCCTGAAGTAGAGGAGGGGGTGGGGGTTCTGCTGAATAATGTATAGATGCTTGGGTTGTGTACTCACCACTGAGTGAATAATGGATGATCCCATCACAGGTAACCTCACAGGTACACACTTATCTTTCTCTCACCTCCCTCCGTATGTGTGTGTGTGTGTGTGTGTGTGTGTGTATGGAAGATGTGTGGAAGGAGAGAAATAAAGTGAGATAGTTTGAGCATTTAGCACAGACTCAACTCTCTGTCACGCCCACCTACATACATACTGTACTATCCTGTGTGTGTTAGCGTGATGAGTTTGTGTGTTTGTCAGTAATGGCTCCATTAGTGCTGATTGTTCAGGAGCCAACTCCTCTAGTGTTCACACAAATCATCTGGAGCTCTTCACCTCACACGCTGGGATAAAAGCTGTTTATATCTTGGCCAGGGGCGCACTGTCAGGAGAGGCAAACCATGCTAATGCCTTGGGCACCCCGAAATAAATAGTAAAAAGGGCCCTTGATGGCTGCTGATATTGGCACATTTTGCAATGGCAAATATAAACCCCCTTTAATCTCCCATAAAGCACTATACAGTGCAGCACCGCCCCAAAAAACCCTTTAGTGAGGCCCCTTCTAGCTCCCGTATGACAGATGGTTGTTCAAATACTCAGATGTAGAAATTATGGACTCAAGTCACTGACCTGGACTATCGAGTCAGACTTGAGTCACAAATTTCATGACTTTAGGCTTGACTTGACAAGATCAAAAAAGACTTGCTGCATGACTTGGATTTTAACACCAATGCCGCATGACTTGGACTAGGGCTTTTTTTAAGAGAATTATTTTGAGTTTTTTGCCTTTAATGACGAAGTTTTACGTGTGAAGGGGGCAGAGAGAGGGGACGACATGCAGCAAGGGGCCGCAGGCCGGAGCCGAACCCAAGGCTGCTGCAGCAAGGACACTGCCCCCATACACAGGGCGCCTGCTCCACCCGCCGAGCCACCAGGCACCCCGATCTAGAGCTTTTTGATTCAAAAGTACTAAATACCTTCCCCACAGTCCCAAGATTGAAAAGCATATTATTTTTTTAAATTGCGCAAGTAATCAAATAATTTTCTTTATTTCCCAAATCAGCTAACATTTACAACTTTAATTCCCAGATAATCAACACTTAATTCCCCAGATCTACTTTGTTTGAATCGATCCAACCACACCTAGCCAATTTGCAGGAGAGAACCAGGGAGAACAAACGTTGCACCAGTTGGAAAAATGATACCAAAGATATCTTGTTTGAATACAAAAACTACACATTTGTCAACAAAAAACAAATTGCAGTACGAAACATGCTGGTCTAAAATTACAGATGAAGACGCATCGTACAACATTTGAAGTTGCAAAAACAATGGTAAGCTGAGGCTAATTAGCAAGCTAATGCTTAGCTAACATTAGCTCGCTAATATTAACATAGCGAGCTAACGTTAGCTAGCATTAGCTTAACAGCTAAGTAACTTTTTAACAAACTCGATTAAACAAATAAGTGTAAATTTAAAGATAAAAAAGGAATTATTCTTTGTAAATTTAACATATTATTATTCTGTTGTTAAAATGGCATTACATTTGTTGAAGATCACATTAACCCTAACCAGGCCCCCATTGGCTTTTTTTGCCAGGGCCCCACAGAGTCTAAGACTGTCGCTGATCCTGGCATAAGTTACCTCACATCCACATATTTTAAAGCATGCTGGTGTTGATCAGGTAGCTATTGAACAATGTTGAAATGTAGCGGTCAGATTGTCGCTCGGTGTCACATTTCTGTGACCAGGTGGCTGAAATTTGAGACGATGCTGTCTGCCTGAGCTGATGGGTCACTCTCTGTGAATGAGTGATAAAATGTCATTACATGTGGCACGCTGACAGCGTCTGAAAACACTGTACTGACCCCCTGATTTCATAAGCGGTGGATTTCTACACGGCCTCACACACAATACAGTACAGGACAGTGTGTGACTTGGGAGACGGCCCCCCCCCCCCCCCCCCGAGACCTTTAAAGTTGTGGTCATCGATACGCAAACAGTTTTAGATCAGTGGTTAGGGTGGCATATCCACTGACAGGCACGTTATTACTCATCAGCCACAGTTCCGCAGATTGTGTTTCAAGTGTTAGGAATCTCCCGAGTCACCCTCGAGGCGTTTATGTCACTGATGCGCATGGGTCCATCTGTCTGCCATCAGTGGAGAGGCAGCCTACCTGCTGAGCAAGAGGAACGAGGACACAGAGACCTGGACCTGGTCCTTCTTGCATGAGAGGAGTGTGAAGCTGACGGCCAAAAGATGTCACACCAAACTGGAATTAATGGTGAGTATTTTTCATTAAGTAAAATTTTCTTAAATCTGAGTGTTTTTGTGTGTTAGTGTAGTTGTTTCTTAATTTAGTTTAAGTGCTTTTTAAATTTTTTTCTGAGCTGTGCCATAGCTTCTAACACATCCTCACAACCTCACTGATTATATTCTCTGACATCCTCTTTTAAGATCTTAAAGTGGTCTCTTTACTTTGATAAACCTGTGGGTCTAAATAACTGGACTGTAAAGGCTACACATGTTTAAAAATTTAAGCCTGTATATTGTAAGACTGATTCACAGTTAAGTCTTCTATGTTGTGATACCAGTGTTTATGACATTTAGGCCCCACAGGTATTTATGGATAGTTTAAGAGCTACATGTGTGTTATGGCATTTGGTAATTGGAGCGTTGGGGGACGGGTTGGCAGGAGCATACCTCTCTCACCTTTCTCACCTGATCTTACATCATTTATGAGTCCGCTGTGTTTGGTAACCATGGTGAGGGAGAGGCAGGCAGTGCAATAAAAAGCTAAATCTGGTTTCCCGTATTAAACTATCATTCATAGGTGTGAAAATTGGAGGAAAATGAGGCTGATTGCATCACCCTCTCAGGGGTTCTTTTGGTACATACATGCCCTGTCCGAGTCACTGTAGGTGATGGCGTGACTATCTGGCAGTGGATCAAATTTTCTCCCTGAAGTGGAGTCTCAGGTTCTTCCCCTACCCAACTCTGTCTCACTTGCTTTCAACCCCCCATCCTCAGTTTTGACTTGTCTGCCTTATATCTGGTTACTTTAGCAACATCCGAGCTGAAAGAGTTTCTGGCCCGAGCAAGAGGAGGTGCCATCAGAATAATGAAGATTGTCATCAGAAATGGTAAACGAGATTTGACACACGTAAGCTTGCAGGTGACTCGGTCTAAGTCCTCAAATAAGTTTGCTGATCGGTGTTTTTTGTCTGCAGAAGAGCTGGTGTTAGATTCATACAGAGAGCCAGTACACAGCTGGGATAAGGATTACGATCAGTTCCTGCTTCCTCTGCTCACACCTCAGGAGCCCTGCTACATCCTCTACCGTCTGGACTCCCAGAATGCACAGGGATACGAGTGGATCTTCATCGCCTGGTCACCTGACCAATCACCAGTATGTCTGGACCGGCCGATTGACATGTTGTCACTGATCACATTTAGTTATTCAAAGTCTGCAACCATAGTGATTGTATTTTTTAAAAAAAACAAAACAAAACCTACAAATCTTTTTTAAGTTGTCATAAACTAAAAAAAAAAAAGAATATCAGTAGGACCCTTGAAAAAAATGTTAAAATAAGTTTAGGCTCACATAATAATAATTATTATTATTGAATGATAGTAACAATAACTGCAGTTGAAGTGTAAATTTGCAATAGCTGCGACCACGTACCGCATGCATTCACATGTTCATGTACACACACACATCCTCACAATAATTGTCACTAGTCCAGTTATGCCTCCCTACGACAACCAGTTTGTGTGTATGTGTGCCTTTTTGTTAACGGCCAACAACACTGGGCCCCAGTTTCATGCTGGGGCTGGGTCCCAGCATGAAAGCGAACATGGGCAAAAACTGTGGCCAAAGGATGGGGAAATTTTTTGGGACTAACCAACCAACAAAGCAACCTGTAGAATTGCTGGTCTTGGCTAAAATTTTTAAGAAAGGCATTATGATTTATTGGTGATATGGTATTACACCTGCCTTTAACACATCCAATATATTTATTCTGTAGTTACATCATTCTACCTTTAAATTACAATTCCTATCCAAAGTAACTGAACAGAACAGAAACTAAATAAAAACAACAGGATCGACAGGAAGGCAATCCAGGAACTCAGAAAAATTAAAGAAAAATGAGGAAGGACATATTAAAAAGCCTTTATTGTAGTGGCTAAATCATTCAAAGAGCCAACATGTTTCGACCACTGCAGGTCTGTGTCAGGGCTTTCAAACCATACAACACAGGTATGACCCCACCTATATGGTGGCAGGAACCAATCAGAGGCCATCACATGACCTATATAATGGCATGACATTATATGGCCCTCTATATGTAATAATGAATAATTAGCATTATGAAATTCACTTAAATGTCTAAAGAGGTAGTCGCAATTTTTTGCTCTAATGGCACATTTATGCTCAGCAAGGCGATTCCTCTTGTACGGCCTATGTAGAAATCATTTAGTTTATAAGTTCTGTTTGTGTTAACATCAATAGAATGTTTAGTTTGCATGAAGTTGTCGCAGTGAGGGCAATGCATACATTTAAAAGTGCCAAAAGGTTTGGATAACCAAGTCCTTTTTTTGTCTGCTGGAAGATGTGAACGCATGTCTGTCCCTACACGTGAGGGCGCATCTGAAAGAAAAAATGGGGGTTCAAGAAAGACTTTTCTCAGCAAAGTATCACTCTCAATGATAGCCCAATTATGTTTAACGATACGTTTGATTTAGAAAACACCATTGTGTCTAAGAGAATATAAAGTACTCTACCTTGAATAATAATTTGTGAATGACAGGGCTGCAACTATCAATTATTTTCATTGTTGATGAATCTCTCTTTGATTAGTTGTTTGGTCTATATAATGTCAGACAATGGTGAAAAATGTCAATCCGTGTTACCCAAAGCCCAATATGACGTCCCCAAATGTCATGTTTTGTCCACAACCCAAAGATATTTAGCTTACTGTCATAGAGAAGTAAAGAACACCAGAAAATATTTACATTTAAGCTGCTGGAATCAGAGAAGTTTGACTTTTTTTTCCTTGATTATACAAATGAGGACTACAGATGGAAATTAGCTTCTCTGCTAAATCTGGTACACACATCTTTAATTCTTATGAATGAGTAATGTAAGTGCATATTGTCCTTTATAAACTAAATAAACTAAACTAATTGATTAGTAGTTATTATTAGTAAAATTAGTTAATTTTGATAGTCGACCACTAACTCAGTAAGCGTTGCAGCTCTTAATAAAAAACAACTTGTAAAAAAATCTATATATAAGATTATATCTACTCCTCCCTCATTGGAAAACCCCAAATCTATTACTATTCAGATATTGTTCAGGATGTCTCCTACTACATGTAAAGTCCATTCACCATGTGTGTATGTTGAAGGTTTCAGGTTTCCACAATATAGTTGTGTATGTTGCATTCTGATGTGACTGGCTTCCAAACTGTAGTTGTGATGTCACAAAATCCTGCTGGTATGTAAACGGCTTAAACTCAGATTTCATGTGAGCACAGAGAAACTTTCCCTTTCAGCATATTGCTGTAAAAAAACAGCCCTGTAGTGTCTCTGCACTTTCATCAGTCTGCACAATGAAGCTCAAACATCACAGTGAAATAACACTTATAATAACCTATATTATATGACATCATCCTGTCTGTCTGTCCCGGCACCCGTTAGGTGAGGCAGAAGATGGTGTATGCAGCGACCCGTGCCACACTGAAGAAAGAGTTTGGAGGAGGTCACATTAAAGATGAAATATTTGGCACAGTTGAAGTGAGTAAATCCTGTCCAGCGTGCATGGTAATTGATCAATGAATTAATCAATGATCAATGAATCTTCAACTGCTGATGATAAAGTACCGTTGTGTTTGTGTGGCTGTGTGCAGGACGACCTGTGCTTCCAGGGATACCTGCGACACATGTCCTCCAGCTGCTCCCCGGCTCCACTCACAGCAGCCGAGCAGGAACTGCAACGAATTAAAGTCACAGAGGTGAAGTTTAAACAAACTGTCTGAATATGATATGAACTACATGTGTGCATTATGTGTTCTCATCCTGTATTTCTACTTCCTTCCTGCAGGACAAGGTTGTGTGGGTACGTAGATTTTCCTATTTCACAAACTCTACTGTGTGTGCGTGAAGAAGAGATATAAAACTGTCTCTTATGTCGACAGGATGAACGCAGACGGGTTGGGACTCCAACAGCACGAGCGAGGGTTTGTTACATCTGTTTGACTCACTGGCATTTTATTTTCTGTCATATGTGTGGACATATCGACACTTAGTCTTCTATGTTTCTTTTATCCTGCAGGTTACGATGGAGTTTGGCTTAGACAAAAGGGCACAAACACTTCAAGGTCTTGCATTCCCGTTACAAGAAGAGGCCAAACGAGCTCTGCAGCAACTCAAGCAGAGACGCATCAACTACATACAGCTGGTGAGCCGGAACAGAGAACCTTTATTTACATAGCGTGCAGTATATAACATGTTCCCTGTAAATGAAAAACAAGCTGTCAGGATATTGTTGGAACAAACTGTGTGCCAGTGTTTGTCAGTAAAATGCAGTAAATCGGCCGTGCATGACTTTGACCCCTGAACAGAGCTTGTTTGTGTATGTGGTGTTGTAGAGGCTGGATGTAGAGAAAGAGACCATTGAGCTGGTTCACACCAAACCGACAGAGACCCGTGAGCTTCCCTACAGGATTCCCACAGATTCACCCAGATACCACTTCTTTATCTTCAAACATTCCCACCAGGGTCAGCTGCAGGAGGCGCTGGGTCAGTATACACAGCCTTACTGCACTAATGCACGGAGGGAAAGTAACATAAAATTTTCTTCTTATCAGGTATCATAAAGATATATACTTAGCTTTCTGTTTTCAAGAGACAAAAGAGAGCTGCATGTGAATCTTACAGAAAATCATCCATAACCTCACGCCTTTGTCAAGTGGCACCATGTGGGTCCCCACCCCACGCTTAACGCTGGATTAATCTGTGTTTTACGTCTCTGGGACATGTGACGATGTGTGATGTGAAAGCAAAACCACAGGAAACTATTACTCGACTCTCTTCTGCATTTTAGCATCTTTAAGCTCATTGTTTCTGGATTTATTGCCCACAACTTGATTGTTTTGGTTCAGTCTCACTACTCTTATCAACCTCATTACCAACAGCAACGTGCAGGGGTGCAGCACCAAATTCCTGGCCCTGTGCTTGAGCAGTCTCTGTGGGCCCCCCGCCCTTCCTCTCTTGATCCATGTCTCTTTCACGCACCTTTTGATATATATAAGTTTGCCCTTTCCTTTTCTTTTCTTTTAAATTTTTTTTTACCACGGATTTCTTTCATGGGGAAAGACATAACAGTGTATGTTGGTGCTCCAGTAGCATTAGCAGTCACTCACTGGGCTCTAGCTGCATTTACAGACAAATTCTAGTGCCGGCTGGACTAAACCATTTTGCACCTTTAAGATGTGGGAGGGGCCTCAGAGAGCTTCCTCTATTTTTTATACGAAGTTCAGTCTTTCAACTGATTTAGTCAGCCAGTTTTAACTTAGTGATGGCACTAATTAGTAAGAAATACCAAATGGCAGCCAAAACCAAACTTTTCACTCCAGGCTTTTTCAGGCCTCCCTCCCATTGGACTTCCTGTACAAGCCTTGTATTATCAGTCCCACTGTCCCCCCACTACGATGCACCTGGCAGCATGCATCTGTTTTCAGTGATAAACCCACTGTACACTACTGTCCAGGCCCAGACGACAGACTGACACAGTTAGCTGGTGAACATAGTGTTGAATTTAGCAGCTAAAGAGTCAGATATTTCACTCAGGAGTGGTTGGAGACCAAAACAGAGCAAAAAGAAGAGCATATAATGAACTCGCATTTGTCAGGTTGGACACATAAATACTCCAAATGAATGACAATGTTGCGTCGTATCTTCGGGGTGTAAACAGACAAATGTTGACCAACATGTCACCATATCAACTTTAGTAGGTGGTGATAGAGTGCCCCAGGAATGAGTCCTAAAACCTGGAAATGACTTTACCATGCATTTTACCACTTACGGTTCCCCCGTCTCAAAGTCAGTGGGTTTTTGGTTAGATGTCTGAAATATGGCAAGCTTGAGAGACTCACTTTTTTTTTCTATTACCTAAAATAGTCAGTAAATACCCCACTTGTGAACTTTGAAGCTTCTATGTGTTTAAAAAAATGGCAGTTGCTTACAAGTGGCTAAATGATGCTACAGAATGTCATCATGCAGAGCCGGGCCAAACACAGCTATACAGTCTTGTTATGGTAATGACGTTGGGTCATGAGAGGGTAGTGTAGTTTGTTTATAGACTAACATTAGCTTTTTACCTCTGGTGACTGCATTTAGGCTTCAATAATCATGAAAGTGGTGTTCATCTTGTTTCTTTATCCAATGGAAAAACCCCATACGTTTTTTGACAAGGGAGCCAGGATGATGCTAACTTCCACGCTGGCCTACAGAAAAACGTCATCCCTGGAGCACTCTGTATGTTGATGTTGTGAATTTGGCTCATTCAAATGACACCAAGTGGGTCAAAAACCAGCTTTCAGACACTAAATACTCAGTGGCCTTTTTCACAGTGACCACATGCACCTAAAGGAATACTCTACCCACGAAAATGATCATTTGTATATAAATGGCTTACACTGTGTTACGTTGAATTTACTAAAATGCACAAATGTATGACCAGAAAGCGCAGTACTCCTATGGGGAAGTGTTTTAAGTAGCAGTTTGAGTTTTCTTTTTGAATTCAGTGTATCACAGTGTGAGTAATGGATGTGGAAAAGATCATTTGTGGGTGATGTATTCCTTTAACTAAATGTTAAGTTGTATCATGCAGTGAAAATTAGGCCTTTTTTCTGAATCTCAGCAGCTCCTGTTGACTAGTTTTCAACACAAGTACTCCGACTCCTGTTTGATTAAGGTTAAGTGATAGCGCCTCTGCTCAAGAACAGGATGTTCTTGTCCTCTGTTCACCCCTGGTGTAGTGTGTCATTTAGAGAAGGTGGGAGTGAAGTGCATATACTTGTATCAGCTGCTTAAGTGACGACTCTGTTTCCCTTCCAGTGTTTATATATTCGATGCCCGGCTACACATGTAGTATCAAAGAACGGATGTTGTACTCCAGCTGTAAGAACAGACTACTGGACGAGGTGGAGAGAGACTACCAGCTGGAGGTCACCAAAAAGGTACAGGTCACCCAAAAACAACCACAAACAAATAAACAGTAAACAAGTAAACCAAAATTTCTCTATAAATGAATTGTCTGCAGAAGAGAAGCTAATAATCTGTGTGTTATTCTGTGTGTGTGTGTGTGTGTGTGTGTAGATGGAGATAGACAATGGCGACGGCCTGACAGAAGACTTCCTGTACGAGGAGGTCCACCCAATGGAGCACACCTTAAAGCAGGCCTTTGCCAAGCCCCGCGGACCGGGAGGGAAAAGGGGCAACAAACGCCTCATCAAGGGTGCCGGGGAGAACGGGGAAGAAAGTTAGACATTATAAACAGACACAGACACGCAGACACACACACACACACACACACACACACACACACACACACACACACACAAGGCATTACACACTAGTACACAAGCAAACCAACACGATATCTGTGAATTGACTTGTTATTTGACTGTTTAGCTTCTTTACATTCCTTTCTTTTTACCTACAAAAACACACCAAACAGGGAAAATAGATCCACCATAAAGCAGAAATCATATTTGTTTCCTGTGGTGAAAGAAAGGCATTTTATAAAAGTGATATTTAAGACTTTAAATTCTCTTTAAGATACACCAAAGGCACTGCTTTATCAAACCTGAACAAGAACAGTGTTGGCAGTTTGAATCCAGTCAGGGTGACTGGTTAGCATTGCTGCCTCACAGCAAGAGGGTCTCTGGTTCGAACACCGGAGTGGGGGAGCTCTTCTGTGCGGAGTTTGCATGTCTTCCCGGTATCAGCGTGGGTTTTCTCCGTGTACTCCAGTTTCCTCCCACAGTCCAAAGACATGCAGTTAAATTGGTGACTTTAAATTGCCTGTAGGTGTGAATAGTTGTCTGTCGCTATATGTCAGCCTTGCGATAGTCTAGCGATTTGTCCAGGGTGTACCCCGCTGCTCACCCAATGTCAGCTGGGATACGCTCCAGCACCCCTGCGACCCCTAACAGAATAAGTGGTTACAGAAAATTAATGTATTAATGTAGTGGAGATTGAATACTTTGCAGAGATACCAAATATGTCAGGCTGAATTTTTGGGGAAAGTGTTTAATGCACAAAACATCTACAATGTTTCCCTAATGTGAAATGGTGAAAAACATAAATGAACACGGAGTCTTGGGTTTAATTGTGTCACTCTGTAAACATATAAAGCTTTGTATTAAGACTTGAACAAGCTGGTACACATAATATATGACAGGAAAATTAAATTTGGGAAAAGAAAATTATTCACTTTCTTGCTGAGAGTTGGATGAGAAGACTGACACCACTCGTGTTTGTATGTTAAGTGTGAGGCTACAACTTGCAGCTTGTTAGCTTAGCTTAGCTTAGCTTAACATAAAGATTGAAAACACCAAGGGTAACAAAATCTGTCTACCACCACCTCTAAAGTAATGTTGTTCCCATACAGATACCAGTATCAAAAATGCCCCCATTACTGCCTAAAATGCTGGATCGGGTATCTGTGAGTGTGCAATTCTGTGCAACATTATGATTCCGCGTAATTTATTAATAAACTTTAAACTAGTTTCACACGTGGTTAAAGGCCAGTTTCCGGAAATCAATTATTTTTCGCTACTCTGAAACAGGAGCCTACACAGCAAGTTGTCCTGCGCAGCCTCTGGCAGCTGCTGTTTTAGAGCAATGAAGAAGATTTGATTTTTCTGTAAATAGTGGAACAGAATTGTACTCAGTATTGGCCGATAAACAAGCTCAGGTATCAGATCAGTATCAAAAAGGAAAAATGGTTTCAAAATATCCCCACTCTAATAATCAGCAGGCCAATTAACGCGTCATTTCTCTTTTGTTGAATCCATACAGTTTGGACACCACAGATAACAACTTGATATTAAAGGGTTAAAGGGCCTTTTAAATTTAGTTTCTTGATTATTAACATTTGCCAATTCCTATCCAAGTTGACGGCAACATTTCCCATCTGCCCTCTCCTCTCTCTGCTCTCCACTTAAGGAGCTTATTATTCTTACTGGTATCAATAATTCTGATTCACAATGTTCAGGAAATGGTTATGAAATTTCTGTCTTAGGGTGGAACAGCCTTTATATTGCCTGAGTATAGGCAGCCTATGCTTTACCCACAGTTCACTTTTTACCAAATTTATCCATGTCACATCTACAGTTGCCTTCTTCAGTCACCTGAGCGAGGTTTGACTACACTCAGCTGAAGGCTGTTGTTTTACACGGTCCTACAATAAAATATTTTCTTTATTTCCTTGTGTTTATGTCGTCATTTCTCTCTGAATATGTGTGTGTGTGTGTGTGATAGTCATGCAGGCCAGCAGCAGCAGCAGGGATCACAGCTCAGTAGCAGAGGTCAATTGGTTGTGTGTGTGTCTTTTCCAGGAAGTCTCTGTACCCAGAAGCCTTCAGCTGTGCAGTTCTGCTGCTTTCATACCTCGCAGGAAACTCGGTTGATGTGAACATTTTTTCCTAGAAACACGGTTCAGAGCTGAATCGCAGCTTTCAAGTGGTCGTTATCTGCGGACATGGGAGCTGTTGGGTGGGTGATGGTGAACCTTTGTGAAGACACACTGACTTCTGACCTGACACAGTTCAGTTATTTTCCAGGAAAACAAATGAACCGTTTGCAGGTAATTTTCTTCAGGATAATAAGAAATAATCATGGTTATTGCTGTTAAGGTTATTTTATAATTTAATGTTTGGTTAACTGTACATTATTCACCAAATGACACTAAGTGCACGTGTGTCATCTAAAGATACAAAGTCAGAAATCATTTCACAGTGTGACACAGACGTGTAGAGGTGGACGGGCTGTATTCCCACTGGACACAAATGCAACATTAAACAAATTACTGCCGGTAGCTGCATCAACACCGACAGAGGTAACTCTAACAGTACCGGAAGTAAGGATGTTGGCCTTCAAAATAAAAGGTTGAAGACAGGCAATTGAGGAAACAATAAAATTATATTAAGAACAAAAAAACAGTCAAATTTAATTCTGCAATAAATTAAATCAGTAAATCGTAGGCCTAATTTGTGTGGAGGCCCAGTGTTTAATTTCAAGTGAATTAATAGTCTACTCATATGAATAAATACAGACTTACACACTCTGTTGCCAGTTTATTAGGTACACCCAGATAATGTACAGCAAAAACTATGTGAAAGTGGAATTCATTGCAGGACTGTGTGTTCAAAGCATGGTTGACTGCATTAGTTTTAGTCAGGTGTAACTGAGTGTGTACATCTAAACCATATAACCGTGAAATTACAATTGACATGGCCCAAATGAAAAATAAAAGTGAATTTGGCAAGCATTGTTTTAATTTTTTTCACCCCATTATTAAGAAATGTTTTATCCTGCTTCTTTGGACAGTAGCCAAGCTTACCGCCAGTTTTTTAGAATTAGTATTATTATTATTTTTAATTGCAGCATTTTTATTTTTGTTTATTTTTATTTATTTATTATTTCTTGTTTATTTCAAAGGTATAATGTAAAGCGAGATATAATAGTGAATTCCAAATAACTAAATAACTTCTCAAGACTCAAAATTTTGCAGTGGGTTGGGTTTCAATTGAGAGTTTGGACTCATGACCTCATTTATAACAAAGAATAATTCACATTTACAAAGTTTTAAATGAGTCATTACTCACAGCAGAAAGAGCTTGTCTGCCTGCTCCATTTTTCCAATAAACTGTCATCCTATGTTATAAAAAGCACTTCACAGAATTGCCACTTAAGAGCAAAATTACAACATCTTATTTTTAAAGGATTGCAGGAAGTGGTGTGTGTTGTCAGTGTGTGCATTGATAGAGCTGCTGGCAGCCGCTTGTCTGTCACTGCGGGCGCTGAAACACAAAACCTTTCTTGGAAACAGATTCCTGGAACCGCCGTCAGTCCAAACTGAACTGAGCTGTTTTCTGTCCTGCACTTCACTGAATATAGAGCACACACACCTCACACTCTCATTTGCAGCTCAACACCGACAGCACACACAGGGATTTTATTTATTCTCATTTTTATTCCTGCAACAGATGATAACAAGGAATATTCCTCTCTTTTTCCGCCATCATCTGAGACTGATTTATTAATGATTTACTGAGAGGCTGCTGGATTATTCACTGTACTGTGTTTTTAACTGTTCATCAAACTGGATTGGATCCTTATGATTCTCTTTGATTTGAGGTAAGATTATTTTAAACGAATGACATATTTGTGCATGTTTAAAGTCTGTTTTTGTGCACGAGTTGTAATTGTTAGGCTACATGATGTAACTGCCTAATGAAGTGTAAGCCTTCAGCTTTTATAGACCAAGTTATTTTTAATTCTGTGTTGTGTGTGTGTGTTTTGGTGGATTAGGGTTGTTTGTTACCAGCAGATTTATTTGTTTTGTTTTAGTTTATTGGTTTTGTAACTAAGTAGGCTACATTTATTTAAGTACTGCGCTAATGTACAGTTTCGATGTACTTGTACTTTTCTTGAGTATTTCCAGTTTCTGCTACTGTATATTTCTACTTTACTATGATTCTTTTTACCCCGCTGCATTTACTTGATTACTTTAGTTACTAGTTACTTTACATATTCCAATTAAAAACACCAAATATGATCAACAAATAAATTATAGTGTATTATTATAGATAAAGATAAGAGCTTGTTGTCCCTTGGTAAAATACATGAGCTACCAGAGAGAATATCTTGTAAATAAAATAAAATAAAATAAAAAAATCCACTTTTACAATCTTGCATCATTATTGATACAATAATGCATCAGCAGAATAATTCAGTGATATAATGTATATTATTTTAATATGGAACATTCTGAATAAAGAGTGCTATTAGTTTTGTACTTTAAGTACTTTAACATTTGAATGCAGGACTTTTAATAGAGTATTTCTTTACTGTGGTACTTTTAGTCAAGTAAAAATACTTGAGTACATCTTCCACCTTGGTGATTGGTTGGTTTTGTGCTTTTTAGCTCATTTTTGACAAAGACAACCAAAACATATATTTAACATCTTCAATATAAAATGCTCAGGACTTGCTTTACTGAACAGAGTAAAATAATACAATATAAGCTTGCACAAATTCTTTTGTTCGTAACCCAACACTGTGTGGGTCATGTATGTTAACAGGACTACTGTCAGTCAGAAATGGTTGCCCGGGCAGTGACCATTTTCCATCATGAGGATTGGGGAGCTTCATGCCACCCTCATCCTGCTCCTCCACCCTGTGACCCAGCAGAGGACCTCCGCTGCATCACCACCACCTTCCAGTATCTACAGACCTCAGGTACACCAGCAGTCTGATATGGTAGACATTTGGGGAGGGGTGATATGTGCACTGAACATAGCTTTGCATAATTGATATTGTGGGAAAATTTTAGGAATCAAACCTAACACCACCCCCAGTAACACCACTCGTATGGCTACATTCATCAGAACTACATTCATGTAAAAATAAAACCTGATACCCAATCCATGTGTGTGATTCCAGGCTGGTACTGGGGCTCCATCTCAGCGAGTGAAGCTCGGGAAGCTCTCCTAAAAAAGTCTGAAGGCACATTTCTGGTGCGGGACAGCAGTCATCCTCAGTACATGCTGGCCCTGTCAGTTAAGACCCGCTGTGGACCCACCAGTGTACGCATAGAGTACAGCAGGGGCTCTTTCTGGCTGGACTCCATCTCCCCCGGCCTGCCTCACCTGCAGTCCTTCCCAGATGTTCTCAGCCTAGTTCAGCACTACACGGCCTTGGGTCACACACCGCAGGGCCAGTCGTCTGATGACATCCACCACCAAACAAAGCCTGACGCTGCCAAGCACACGGCTAAAGACAGCGGAGTGCCTCTGAGGCTGATGCAACCCCTGCACAAACCAGAGGCCTTCCCCTCTCTGCAGCACCTGACGCGCCTCACCATCAACAGACACACAAACTGTGCCGACCAGCTGCCACTCCCAAAGCCTCTGCTGCGCTTCCTGCAGGACTACCCTTTCCACATATGAGGGTCTCTGTCCCTCTGGTGCAGGACACAGAGACAGGAACGTGGGTCAGGGTCACACTCCATGACCACACACTGTGAATCTGGGACAGTTTGACACCCCGGGCAACAGTGAAAGGCCCAGAGGGAGAGCACTGACATGAATGAACTCAGTCTTACTACAGTGCTGCTGTTGTTCTCCAGAATAATATATTTTATTATTTTCATATGTCTGTTCCAGCTGCTGTAAACTGATTTTATTTCTACAATGCCAATGTGTGATTTTTTTTGTCTTTATTTGCCCCACCAGTAAGAAGAAAGTCACAGAGGTTTGTGCATGTTTCAGACTGGTGGTCCCAATTGTTTTTTCCATAAGACAGCCCAGAATTATCAATAATATATCAGTGAAATGAGCAGCGACTGCAGTAAGGGGTTGGTTATCTCTACTGGAACAACCAAGCAAGAGACAGCATCAGAAATAATTTGGGTTTTTGTCTGTTTTCTTTGCGTTGGAGCTCATTCTGCTGGACCTGAGGTTTGCAAAGAGTGCTTAACAAAGCAATGTTTATTCACTCGTCATGAAATCAATGAACCTGATGAACCATGGCTGAACCAACCGTGATGTCATGTGACACTTTTGGGCACTACTATAGCCATCGCACAAACTCTTAAACATGACTTTTCACCCCCTTTTTTTGGTTTGTTTTATTGCCATCCTGATACAGAGTGTGTTTTGATGATTATTCTGCTTGGAGCTAATGACTCTTTTTCTCTCTACATGTCTGGGTTTTATTACGGTCAGATCCAATCACAATTGATACACTGATGAGACGTGTAGTTACCAATATTATCAGCTGACACATGACATGCAAACTGGAGGGCCAGAGGTGGGTGACAAGTCCTTTTAAAAGACATGACAGGGTTAAGTGTGTATTTTGTATTTCTTTAATGTGCAGAATCATTTTTTTAAATCACAGATCTTCTTACAACATTCATTACCAGCATTAACATGAAAAGCTGTTTGTGCAAACGCTGTTGTTAGCTGTTAAAGGACATCTGTTTACAGACTGCTGGTTTTATTCTCAGAAGAGGATCGTACATGCCTGTGGATTTCAGAGAAATAAACCTCAGAAATGTTTTCTCTCTCTTTTTTTCATAGTGCATCTTTTTTTTCACTGATGAAAGACTTGCCACATGAACATACAAATGAATGTGAGGTATTAGTATTACTGTTTTCATGGAAAC